GGGGACAGTGGCTGGTGGCTCACATCTGTAATCCCAATACTCTGGGAAGCCAAGGCAGGTAGATCACTTCAGGTCACCAGCCTGACCAACATGGTAAAACCCTGTCTCTACAAAAATTAGCTGGACATGGTGGTATGTGCCTGTAATACCAGCTATTCCAGAGGCTGAGGCAGGAGAATTGCTTGAACCTGGGCGGCAGAGGTTGCAGTGAGCCAAGACTGTGCCACTGCACTCCAGCCTGGGCAACAGAGAAAGACTCTGTCTCAAAAAAAGAAAGAAAGAAAAAAAAAAAAAAATATATATATATATATATATATATTTGTGTGTGTGTGCGTGCGTGTGTGTATGCGCACACACGACTTACTGAGCATTTACTACAGGATTATTTGAAGTACATTAACTAATTGAATCCTCAACACTTAAATAGGTGGTGGTCTCCATTTTACAGATGAGACAGAGAATCACCAGCATTTAAGGAAGCTGCTCATTTTCACAGCTAGTAAGTGGCAGACTCAGAACTCAAACCTAGGCAGTGTGGCTGCAGAGTCTGTATGATAGTGCCTCTTAGACTGACGATCAAGGAACACCAAAGCTCCAAAAGAAAAAGAAGCAGAGACAGCAGATTAGAAGAGTCAACAAAAGTTTAGAAGAAAAGAAAACAAATGAGAAGTAACTGACTTAGAGGATGCTGAGTGTTGCAGATGGCAAGCCACTGAAGAATCCCCTCCAAAATGGAATCATTGGAAGTACCAGTTTCCTCTGAAGTTGTAAGCATGAGGAAGGGTTGAAATCAGGAAATACTAGTCTCCCTCCCCAAGGCAAGCAATGGCTGCATCACCTCCCAAGTAGAAGACTGGAGGTTTACTCTTCAGACAGGATGAATAAGAGCCTCTAAACGTGGGTCATCAGGGTACCACTGAAGACAAGGAAGTGGTACCATTTAGAGAGATTAAGTGAAACTCAGCATAGAGAAGGGAGAGCCTCCAGCCCTCTCCCACCACAAGGCTCCCAGAATAACAGCCAGGCTTATGCCACCTAAGAGGAGGCCTGGAGAAAGATCTACAGACTCTGACCATATCCCACAGAATATGACAGGTCCATCATCCTACAGTCATGGCTCTCAGAACGTGGTCCCAGACCAAGAGTATAGCATCACAAGGGAACTTGTCAGAAACATGAGTTATCATGCCCATGCCAGACCTAATGAAACAGAAATTCTGAGGTGAGGTCCAAAAACCAGTGTTTTAACAAGGCCACCAGGTGATTCTGAAGCCCACTAAAGTTTGAGAACCACTGCCCACCAGGGAGGCCCACCAGTCAATAAAACATCTCACACCAAAAAGCTTCCAACCAGCTTTTCAGTGTCTGTTTATTTGAAAAACACTGTGTAGTCACCAGAAAACTGAAGAAAGACTGAAGAAAGAGAGACAAAACAGATTTCCCAGAGCAGCTCTGGTGGCAAGTAGTGAAATGTGCAGAGCCTGGTTTGCGTGCCCTTTCCCCAGTCCCATCATCATATTGCTTCGGAGCTAACCCCTGGGCTTTACAATATAGTTTTCAAAATCAGTAAAATAAATGCTGTCTACAGTCCCGTCCAGTTCTAGCCCATGCCTTTATACTAGTCCTTCCCACTGGAGGCTTTTTCTTAAAGAGAGAGGAAAAAAAGAAAAAATATATATATATTGGTCCTTATGTTCTAGATCCTTGAAACTAACAGCAATTCAGACTGACCCTTTCAGTTGGAACTATGTCTGATTTTTTTTTTTTTTTTTTTGAGACAGGGTCTCACTCTGTTGCTCAGGCTACCTTCCAAGCTCAAGTGATCCTCCCACCTCAGCCTCCTGAGTAGCTAAGACTAAAGGTACACACCACTACAGCTAAATTTTTATCTGTAAAAACGGGGTTTCACCATGTTGCCCAAGCTGGTCTCAAACTCCTGAGTTGAAAGTAATCCACCTGCCTCAGCCTCCCAAAGTGCTGGGGTTACAGGCGTGAGCCACAGTGCCCAGCCTACAGCCTAAATTTTAATCTAAAAATTCTCCCCTATTACTGCTTTTCACTAGTCTCTATTTACACCAAGTGTTACTACACAATTAGATCATTTTTCTGCTTACAAATCTCTAGCAGCCTTAACATCTTCCACCATGTAATCACTGTGGACAAAATCTTCTCATTTACTTTTACTTCCTCTGTCTTCTTTAGTCCAGCTCATTTTTCTCAGTTTGCTTGGTTCCTTTTCCCATCTGAGAAGATCTTGCCCTTTCTCAGGTCACTTCACTCCTCTCCTGGAAAAACAAACTCCTTCAGGAGGGGTTTAGAATGATGAAAAGGGCCGGGCGCAGTGACTCATGCCTGTAATCCTAGCACTCTGGGAGGTCAAGGAGGGGATCACGAGGTCAGAAGTTCAAAACCAGCCTGGCCAACATACTGAAACCCTGTCTCTACTAAAAATACAAAAAAAAAAAAAAAATTAGCTGGGCGTGGTTGTGGGCGCCTGTAGTCCCAGTTACCTGGGCGGCTGAGGCAGGAGAATCACTTAAACCTAGGAGGTAGAGGTTGCAGGGAGCCGAGATCGTGCCACTACACTCCAGCCTGGTGACACAGTGAGACTCTGTCTCAGAAGAAAAAAAAAAGATGAAAACATTTTGCCAGGTATAACGCAAAGAGCACCACAAATTTTCTCATCTAATCTTCACACTAATGCTGTGAATTCAAAATCATCCCTATTTTTACATTTGGAAAACGTAGGCTTACAGAGATTAAGTAACCTGCCCAAGGTTACAACTAGGATTTTAATCCAAATCCTTCTGGCTTCAAAGCCATACTCAACCATCCTACTCTACCATCTCTAGAAGTGTGACTCAAACATGTGGAAGAAGATAAGTTTCCCTCACCATGTAGAAAATAAGAAGAGCAGGCCAGGCGTGGTGGCTCATTCCTGTAATCCTGGCACTTTGGGAGGCTGAGGTGGGCGGATTGTTGGAGCTCAGGAGTTCAAGACCAGCCTGGGCACGGTTAAACCCCATCTCTACTATAAATACAAAAAATTAGCCAGGTGTGGTGGTATGTGTAGTGGGGAGGCTGAGGCAGGAGTATCACTTGAACCCAGGAGAGGGAGGCTGTAGTGAGTCGAGATTGCCCCACTGTAGCCTGGGCGACAGAGCCAGACTCCATCTCAAAAAAAAGAACCTAAGAACAAAAGGATCTCTGCATAGTTTTGTTCTCTCTCTCTCTCTCTCTCTCTCTCTCTCTCTCTGTGTGTGTGTGTGTGTGTGTGTGTGTGTGAGAGAGAGAGAGAGAGAGAAATAGGAGAAATGAGAGAGAGAAATCGGAGAAATAGGGTCTTGCTCTGTTGCCCAGGCTGAAGTGCAGTGGGCAATTACAGCTCACCGCAGGCTTCACCTTCTAGGCTCAAGTGATCCTCCCACCTCAGTCTCCTGATATCTGGGACTATAGACACAGGCCACCATGCGCAGCCAATTTTTTATCTGTAGAGAAAGGGTCTCCCTACATAGCCCAGGCTGGTCTCCAGCTCCCCTGCTCAAGTGATCCTCTCACCTCTCAAAGTGCTGGGATTACAGGTGTGAGCCACCATGCCTGGCCTGCTTGTTTTTTAAACAGGGATCACCCACAGATGCTGAGCGCTTTCCAGCCAAAGCCCAACGGGGAGCCCCACTCATTACTTCCCCAACCGGACGGCTCAACATAGTTCGGTGGCTTGGCTAGGGAGCAACACAGTACGCCTCTTCCACATGAAAGGACGCAGGCACAGGAGGGAGGCTGGCTCTTGCGGCCAGGATGCTGGTGGGGAACAGGTTGTTAAGATATCTTTCCCTCTTAATGTCAGTCAGCATCCCTCTCCCCATGCAGCCAAGAGGCCCAGCCCCAGGAACCTTTGTGATGGTGGTGGTTGTGGTGGTTGGTGGTGAGTGGTGCCTTCAAGTGTGGGGCAGGGTGGCTTCCCACCTCAAAAAATTTCCAGATCAGATTTTTAAAACTCTTAAGAGACAAAGCAGTAATTCAAAAATTAAGGGCTGGCAATGATTCCTAAGGAGTAGGCTTCTCCTCTACAACAGCATAGCCAACTTCAAGAGGCACAAAGAAATTTCTGTGGTGACAAGAAAAGATGCTTCAGTGGTGCCCATCAGCACGTGGGGCCGCCACCGCCCCTGCCTCCACAGAAGGTAAGTCCATTTTCTCTTGTCTGTATGACAGAAAAGGGAGGCTGTCACCCCAATGTCTCCCACTCCGAGGGCCTAAGCGGCGCACCTCTCAACCTTTCCTTCCAAGGGCTGAAAGGCTGTCTGTCCTCTTCCTCTCCCCACTCAGCCCCTATCCCGTTCTCCTGCTCGGCACCTCTCTCCCCACTACTCGGCCCCCTCAAACCTCTACTCCCCACGCCTCTCCCTGCTGACCTCTCTTTCCCTGTCCCCCACCCCTTTTTACTGCCCGCTCGACCCCTTTCACCTCAGCCCGCTGCCGCCCAGCCCGCGGTACCTTGAGGGTCACGTCGCACAGCTTGCCTTGCCGCCGGATCTCCTCCATGACTCCGTAGCCGCGACTAGGCAACTCGGACACCGAGAAGTGCACCAGATCCTCCAGCTCCTCCGCACCGTCCTCCACCATCTTCCCCGGCCGCCGCAACTGCGCAGGCCTCGCCGGCCGGCTACTCACTAACCAGGGCGGGGCGCGCGCGCACGCCGCCAGCAGCTCCGAGCGCGGAGGAGCAATCGAACGGGCCTCCGCGGCCGCCGTAGTTAAAACTCCTCGGCGCCGGAAGCCCCGCCGCCCCGCTTCCTGGTTCATGTGCAGCCTTCGTTCCTTCGCTACCCCGACCTTCGCTTCGCGCATGCATCTGCCGAGTTCTTTCTAGATCAATCGGCCTCATCTCTCGTCTTCCCAATTCGGCCATGACCTCACCCATATCCTCGACGTAGGACCTCGGACTTCATTTCCGCCACTCTCGACACTTCCGGAATCCCCGGAAGCGACCCGTTGCCATGGCGACCGTGTACACAGCCAGCCAGCCCCGCGTGGGGAGTGCAGGTGGCTTCGGTTGCAGCTTCGCATCCCGGGAGCGTCGCTGCCTGGTAAACGGTGAGCAGGGGCTGCGCGCCGGTGGGAGTGGGGCGACGGGAGACCGTGGCTGGAGTCCAAACACCACTCTATCTGGAGGTTTCCGGCTTGGGTCGCTCATCTCTGAAACCCAGGCGAAGGAGGGCGAGACATCGTGGGAGTCCTTTCAGCCTGGCCACGACTTACGGTATTCAGAACTAATGTTCATTGGTCCCACAAAGGAGTCCCACATCGCGCCCAGGGTATTGAAGCCTTGAGGCAGGGAGCCGGAGGTCGTCTGGACTCTTCTGCACTAGTCGGTTTTCGAACTAGAGGGGGTTTTGGGATCACCAGTCCGAGCCCTACTCTTTACAGATTAGGAAACCGCTCCCGAGAGAGCGGAATGGGTCCAAGGGTTATTGCCCCCCAGGCTCCATGCGGGGGTTCGGCACATTGAGTGAGGAAAAGGAGAAAGGCCAGTTTTGCCTGAGTCCCAGTCTTGTTCAGCCAAGGCCAGGTGCAACTGGACCCAGTGTTTGGGGTTCGGGTGTTGCTGCTGCCACTACGGTAGCTATGAGGGTTCCCCATGACAGCCCCTGATCTGTATGGGAGCACTGGAAGATAGGACCCATCTGGCAGCTACCGCCCCACCAAACGTTCCCTTTCTCTTGTCGAGCCTTCGTGGGTGCTTGTTGCCAGTTCTGTTCCTTCGCACTCAAAACAAATGAAGCAACCTCGAGCGTCTTAACACAGAAGTTTCCTGGTGGCCATTCAGAGACTTGCTTTGTTATAACAAATATCAAAGGGTGGTTCCCCAAGGAGAGGCATTTCCCACAAGGTCCCGAGGGAGAAAGGGGGCAGTGGCTCACGCCTGTAATCATGGCTTTGGGAGGCCGAGGTGGGCGGATTGCTTGAGCTCAAGACCAGCCTAGATAACATGGGGAAACCTTGTCTCTGCAAAAAATACAAAAATTTTCCAGTGGTGCACGCCTGTAGTTCTGGCTGCTTGGGGGGCTGAAGTGGGAGGATCACTTGAATCAAGGAGATGAAGGCTGCGGTGAGCCATATTGTGCCACTGCACTCCAGCCTAGGTGACAGAGTGAGACTCTGTCTAAAAAAAAAGGGCGGGGGAGTATGGTGAGGGCTGGACATAGATTTTTGTACCTGGAAACCTCCTCCTGGAAGGGCTGTGTGCTTGGGTTGGAGTTGTCATGGAAGGGAATTGACATCATATGCCTCTTGGGACTCTCAGTAGTGATTGAAGATGGAATCATATATGGAGATTCTGCTGCCCTCTGACTTTCAGCCATTACCATCACCACCCACCACCATTTCCTGAACACCTCCTCTGTGCTGGGCTCTGCCCTGGACATTGTGGGGGGATTCAGAAGAGATAAAAAGCACAATCCTTGCCTTAATTTGGGGACTGAAACTCACTCAAATGAAGCGGCGTAAGAATGGTGACAAGCAGTATTTCAGTAAGTGCAAGATGGCATGGGGTCCCCCCCAAATGTTTGGGTGTTAAGGGGCAGCTGAGTAGCAGGCTCACAAGACAGGTATGTAAAGGAAGACTTATTGCAGGTGGATATAGCTCCTGGCATGCTTGGATCCATGGTGTCAGCATGGGGAGGGCCTTGGGAAGCATACATGGGGTGACTGCATGTACATGTGCATGTTGTCAAATAGCAGGGCAGAGAAGAGCCAGGCTCTGGAGGGAGAGTGATGCTTTTGTTTTGTTTCGTGGAGACAGTCTCACTCTGTCATCCAGGCTGGAGAGCAGTGGTGCTCCATCACTTCTCAAGTGATCTTCCTGCTTAAGCCTCCTGAGTAATTGGGACCACATGCATGCATCACCACACTTAGCAGATTTTTAAAATTTTTTGTAGAGACAAGGTTTTGCTCTGTTGCCCAGGCTGGTCTCTAATTCCTGGCCTCAAGCGATCCTCCCACTTTGGCCTCCCAAAGTGCTGCATTTATAGGCATGAGCCACCATGCCCGGCTGAGGTTGATGCTCTGAACTGGCCTGTGCTACCCTTGTGCAGGGGCTTCAGGGAGGGAGGCCTGGGCACCTGCTCCCAGAGCTCCCCTGCTTCTTCATGGTCTCTTTCGGAGCATACCCTGGATGGCATCTGAACTTCCCTGGGCAGGAGAATGGGCCCTTGGATGTGAAGAGTGATTCCCCAAGCTTTAGAAATTGAGTGTGAGTGTGAGGCTGAGGTGGGTGGATTGCTTGAACCCAGGAGTTTAAGACCAGCCTAAGCAACATGTTGAAACTCCATCTCTACAAAAATGCAAAACATTAGTCTAGTGTGGTGGCATGCACCTGTCCTCCCAGCTACTCTGGAAGTTGAGGTGGGAGGATTGCTTGAGCCTGGGAGACAGGCTGCAGTAAGCTGAAATCACAGCAGTGTACTATAGCCTGGGAGACACAGTGAAACTCTGTCTCAAAAATAATAAATAATAAACTAATTAAAATCTGGAATACCTTTTGTCCGGTAATACCCGTCGGACCTCTCTTAGATAATTTTATATAAAATGGTACCATTATTTAATGTAATTTTGTTAAAAAGCAAGATAAGCTAATTAAAAGAAGTCCCTGTTATACATGAGGGTTTTTTAATACAATTAAGGTCTTAAAAGTTAGTTTTTGTTTTGTTTTGTTTTGTTTTAGACTGAGTCTTGCTCTTTCACCCAGGCTGCAGTGCAATGTCATGATCTTGGCTCACTACAACCTCCACCTTCCAGATTCAAGCAATTCTCCCATCTCAGCCTACCTAGCAGCTGAGATTACAGGTGCCCACCACCACACCCAGCTAGTTTTTGTTTGTTTGTTTGTTTGTTTTTGAGATGGAGTCTTGCACTGTCACCCAGGCTGTAGTGCAGTGGCATGATCTCGGCTCACTGCAATCTCTGCCACCTGGGTTCAGGCAATTCTCCTGCCTCAGCCTCCTGAGTAGTTGGGACTACAGGCATGCGCCACCATGCCCAGCTAATTTTTTTGTATTTTTAGTAGAGATGGGGTTTCACCATGTTGGCCAGGATGGTCTTGATCTCCTGATCTTGTGATCCACCCCCTCCTTGGTCTCCCAAAGTCCTGGGATTACAGGTATGAGCCACTGCTTCCGGCCACCTGGCTAATTTTTGTATTCTTTGTAGAGATGGGGTTTCGTCATGTTGCCCAGGCTGGTTTCAAACTCCTGGGCTTGAGAGATCTGCCCACTTTGGCCTCCCAAAGTGCTAGGATTACGGTGTGAGCCACTGCACCCAGCCAAAAGTTTTTTTTAAAGCCAAGCTATGCACCTGTAGTCTCAGCTACTTGGAAGGTTAAGAGAATCACTTGAGCTCAGAAGTTCAAAGGCAGACTAGGCAACATAAAGAAACCCTTGTCTCTAAAAATGAAAAAGATAAAATGAATGTTAATTTTAAAATATTGAACATTGCTGGGCATGCCTATAATCCCAGCACTTTGGAAGTCCAATGCAGGAGGATCATTTGAGGCTAGGAGTTCAAGACCAGCCTAGGCAACATAGTAAGACACCATCTCTACAAAAGAAGGTAAGAAAATTAGCTGGGCACAGTGGAATGCACCTGTACTCCCAGGATCACTTGAGCCCAAGAGGTCAAGGCTGCATTGAGCCATGATTATAACACTGCACTCCAACCTGGGTGACAGAATGAGAGTCTGTCTCAAAAAAATATATATGTGTGTGTGTGTGTGTGTGTGTATATTTATATGTCTTTCGTGTTCCTTTATATGTGTGTGTATCTTATGTCTTATGTGTATATATACATATATATGTCTTATGTCTTCCTTTATACTACTATATATATGTGCACATGCATGCACACATACACATTGAAAGAAAATGATGACAATTTAGTTAGGTTTTAGGAGAGCAAGAGGAGGTAGGGGACTGTCTGTGATATTTTTTCTCAATGTGGTAAGAGAGGAAAGAATATTTGATTATGGACCAAGTATTCTTCTAGGGCATCTACTTCTGATCTAGTGAGTCTGTTAGAGGAGAGGATGTTGTATCTGAAGCCAGATAAGTTAATGAGAAGAAAATTAGTTTTAATGTATTTCATAGTAAATATTTTAGAAGAAAATATAAAAGAAGGAAAGCGTAAGTGGACTCATCATCTTAGATGCAGAACATTTCTAGAAATGACATCTAAGATTAGGCCACTAAAGGAAGCATTCTTTTTACTTTGTATCTCGGTTTCTCTGGGATCATTGGTGGAAAATGGCAGAGCAGCCTATGAAGCAGGAAGGGCACGTATCTGTTGAGCAGTGTCTTGTGGGTCGGACACTGAAATGGTGAGGGGTGAAAAGGAAGACTGGCCTTCAGGGAGAGAGGGAAACATGGACTGCTCGTCACTCTTTCTGATCTTAATGAATGACCCCTCTCCTCTGCTTGTTATTTGATGACTATTCAATATTTCATTACCTTGTTTTTAGCTAGAATGGGTACTAGGAAAAAAGTTCACGCCTTTGTCCGTGTCAAACCGACTGATGACTTTGCTCATGAAATGATCCGATATGGAGATGACAATAAAGTAAGTGCGATGTGTTTGCCTTCACCTGACTGGCCTCTCTGTCCCGCCTGGCTATAGTGTGACTGTATTTCCAAATGACCTTTGAAGGACCAAGACAGAATTAGACAGGATCCAATCAAGTCCAAACTACCCCGTCACAATGCTGTTAATTAGGAAATTCACAAAAATCCCATCTTTAATTATCTTTTAATTATTTTACCTTTAATAAATTAATAAGTTTACCTTTACCCTCCTATCTAACACAGAAAAATGGACATTTGTTCACATTCATAAAGCTTTCTAGTGTTTGATTGGTCATTGTATAATCTCCCAAGGGGTGCAGTAAGAATATCTTGAGTTCATTACAAGGGGAAACTGCTCAAGCCTCAAAGGTCCCGGCAGTCAGAAAAGAGCTTACATGCAGCCCTGTGAAATGTTTCCTGCTGGGCATGGTTTTCAACGAACATAGAAGCATAGAGCACTTAATGTGTGAATGAACCAAGTCTTTCTTTGTTGATTTGAACTTTCTCTGTAGCCAGGTATGGCTCTTGTATTAGGGCAGTCAGTGTAAGATTTCAGCAAGATTTTTATATCAGAAGTTCCCATCAAGAAGATTGGAATCTACCATTGCCTTACCCAGTATGTCCTTAAGCCAGCTGCTACCACAGTGGCTTACGTACTGTGAAGGGGCATACATCTAAAAATCTGCTGATTACAAGTACCCTAGGCACCCTCAATTTACTCTTAATTCCAATGAGTAACTGTGTCTGAGAAGTCCATAGCCTTCTCTGTGGCTGTCATTTCATCATCACTCACATTGGCCCATAGTGTGGAAGTAGGTGCTCACAACGCAGAGCTGAGGGAGGCCTCACTCAGTAACCAGAGTGATGGGGCTGGAGCCCAGGCCTCTGTCACCAGGCTCACTGCTCCCTCTGGCCTAATTCAAGGCCTCCCTATGCTTGTGGAATCTATCTAAATCTTGTTTAATAAAAACATGATAAATTTGATTGACCTCATCTCATAGATGGGGGAACCAAAACAGATAGCGCCCTGTGAACTAGGGTTAGAGGTACTAAAACTAGCAAGTGCGCCAGCCTCCTGATCCTTCCACCTCCCTGAAGCAGCTCCCTTCTCCCGTCCCAAAGAATTCATCTGGAATATCAGCCCCTACGTGGGAGTCCCTGTTCATCCTGCAGTTCACTTCCTCTGTTCCCTTCAGGTTAGGCCTCAGCTATCAGTTATTTTTTTATACCAGTTTCTGAACAAATAACAGTTTTTTTCTTTCTCACCCTTTTTTCCTAGACCATTGATATTCACTTAAAAAAAGACATTCGGAGAGGAGTTGTCAATAACCAACAGACAGACTGGTCGTTCAAGTTGGATGGAGTTCTTCACGACGCCTCCCAGGACTTGGTTTATGAGAAAGTTGCAAAGGATGTGGTTTCTCAGGCCCTCGATGGCTATAATGGTAACTTAATTAATTAACTGTTATCTTATGTAAGACCGAGGAGCCCCTCCTGCAGTAAGAGATGCAAATATTTTATGGTGAATAAAATAAAACCTCACTTACTATCATTTGTATACTTATTTGTCTGTCTCCATGTTCTTACGGTGCAAAACGTACTGTTGGCTTGTTGACATTGTGGGCATGGCTTGATCCAGTGTCCTGGGATTCTACCTTCATAGGAAAATTAAGGCTGGGTGCAGTGGCTCATGCCTGTAATCCCAGAACTTTGGAAGGCTGAGATGGGCAGATCACGAGGTCAGGAGTTTGAGACCAACCTGACCAACATGGTGAAACCCCATCTCTACTAAAAATACAATAATTAGCTGGTCATGATGTGCACCTGTAATTCCCAGGTCCTCAGGAGGCTGAGGCAGGAGAATCACTTGAACCCAGGAGGTGGAGGTTGCAGTACGCTGAGATCATGCCACTGCACTCTAGCCTGGGTGACAAAGCAAGGCTCCATCTAAAAAAAAAAAAAAAAAAAAAAATTAAGACTGTAGCTCTTCATAGGTCATAGTGGTTCAATCATTATCCTGTTTCAAATCTCTCAAATATTAGTTTTGAAGATGCATCTTGATGATTAATTTGATGGAGTCCAAATATTTGTCTCTCAGCTTCCTGCCAGGAGCTATTTTCATTGTTTGGTTTTTTGTTTTTTGTTTTCTTTTGAGATGAAGTTTTGCTCTTCTTGCCCAGGCTGGAGTGCAATGGTGCTATCTCAGTTTATTGCAACCTCCACCTCCCGGGTTAAAGCGATTATCCTGCCTCAGCCTCTCCAGTAGCTGGGATTACAGGCGCCTGCTAATTTTTTTGTATTTTTAGTAGATACAGGGTTTCACTATGTTGGCCAGGCTGGTCTCGAACTCCTGACCTCAGGTGATCCACCTACCTCAGTCTCCCAAAGTGCTGGGATTACAAGCATGAGCCACTGCACCTGGCTCTTACTAGGAGCTATTTTCATTTATTCTACCAACACAATCAGTGTACGGTTGATATTCTAGTATAGGATTATGTAAAAGAATATATTACCGTTTTTAGACGTTGCCATCTGGTGGCTGCTAACTAGGTATTCTCTGTTTTGCAAATTTAGGTTTTATATTTAAAAGTCCATTGAGTGTAGATGCTGTAATTTATCCTGAATATGATACGTAGATGTGGTCCCACTGACTTCACAAGGTTCTCTTTTGGTTTTTATCATGCTCTGAGGGGATTGAGACCTTGAGGAGGTGGAGACAGAGGAACTAAGGCCCAGAGAGATTAATAGTCTTGAGCAGTGGGTGCTGCAGAACCACAGATGGGCTCTGAGTTGCAGCTGAAGTGACTGCTTCCTGTTCATTTGTTGGATTAATAGACACCATTTCTGGCTCCAACTCAAGATGCTGAATCAGGACCCCTTGTGTAAAACATGCTACCAGTCCCCAAACTAAAGCGTCTGTGTGTCAAAGGCAAAAAATTCCACAGCCCAGCATTGCCTGGGCAGATTGGCTGTGTAATGCCCAGGGGCAGCCTGTGGGGTGGGGTCTGGCTCAGGCCGCCCATGCTAAGAAGAAGAACAGACAGACAGGAGCTGGAGCTCAGGGTGACTGCATGGTTTGTGTCCCGGAGCCTGGTGGTGATGGTAGACCTAAAGAATGTTGAGAAGTGCAATGAAAGTCTTCCCGGGGTGAGCAGTGCACCAGATTAGGGCCTGGTCATGGGGGTCCATTTCTGGAAGCAACATGGAACCAGCTAGGAGCCCTGTTTGATCCTGCAGGAATTCATAGTCTACAAAGAATTGACAGAAAATGCCCTTTCCACTCCATCTCTTCCTGGAGATTTTAAAAGCCCCTCTTTGCCTCTGTGGGGGAGTTGATGCCTCATGCCAACCCTGAGACCCTGGCAGTTCATAGCTGTGCTAGAAAAGGGCTGGAGTCTAAGGCTCCTATCTCCCTCCTCATCTTTTTAGGAAAAGTTCTAGTTCCTCTGTACCCTGAGATTCCCTGTTCTCCTCAGAAGCCCTAGGGCTGGATCATCTCTTGGTGGAGGGAACAGCAGAGCATTGTGAGGACAGATTCAGGGCAGATGTCCTTGTTTTGACTGCTTTTGTCCCTGTTGCCCACCCACCCATGCTCTTCCATGGTAGAATTCCTGATGTCCTTGGCTGCTCCCACTGGCCATCTTCACATGAAGGGCCCTGGCTGGCACCAGGCATGCTGGGGGATGGGAGAGTTATCCTTAGAGCTATTTTCCTGGATGTCACCATGTTTTGAAATGTTTGCAGGCACCATCATGTGTTATGGGCAGACAGGAGCTGGCAAGACATACACCATGACGGGGGCAACTGAGAATTACAAGCACCGGGGGATCCTCCCTCGTGCACTGCAGCAGGTAGAGAGTGGGTCCAAGGGTGGGATGCCACACAGGTCCCCTCTCTCTGCCATAGATGTTACCAACCCGAGGCCAGCTACTAGAGAGAGTGGGGACCAGACCTCAAAGGAGCTGCAGAGGGTGCTGGTGCTGGAGACAGCATACAGGGGGCTCTGGAGTCAGTGGAGTCAGAGGCCTCAGGAAACCAGGAGGTTGGGTTTCAGACTCTGACCCACACCGGCACTGAGCCTGTTTCCTCATTTGGGAAGGAGGGAGTCCAGCATGCTAATCAGGCTCTTGCTGCTCCAATGGTCTGTGATCCTGTAATTAAGGATTTGGAGGTCCTAATCATGTTCCTTCCTGGTTTTAATGAGGGGCATATGGACCCTTGCAGAGCTTCCTTACCGGCCTACTCTGGCTTTTTTCACCACCACAGCCCCTGAAAGATCAAAAGCAAGAAGCAGGGCATGACCTGAACTTTCAGGACTGTGTCAGCCCTGGGGGTTCTCAGTAGCATACCTGAAGATAGGACAGAAGGGTCTTCCTTTGGGCCCCACTAGCCTGGGTTCTATGAAGACCCTTTGGTCAGAGGTAGGAGGCAAAAGACTTTCCCTGAAAGCATCTTGGCAGTTTTACAGCCCTGTCCTATAAAAAGTGTAGACATTCCTTTAGAATGTAAACTCTCCGTGCTCCCATTTTTGGAGCAATATCCTTAATATCCCACTGTTAAAGCTTCATTATCTTAGCATCTTAGACTTGAGTAACCTAGCCCAGTGTCATTAACAGAAATATACTGTAAGTCACATACAGTTTTGAGTTTTCCAGTAACCACATTTAAAAAAGTAAAAGTAAACAGATAAAATTAATTTTAATGATATATTTCATTTAACTAAATATATTCAAAATACTTCCACATGTAATCAATATGAACTTATTGAGATATTTTACATTCTTTTTCTCATACAAAGTCTTTGAAAACCGGTACATATTTTATGCTTGGAGCACATTTCAGTTTAGGTGTGAACACTGTCAGAAATACTGGATCTGGGCCTGGGATTATGCCTGTAATCCCAGCACTTTGGGAGGCCGAGACAGGTGGATCACCTGAAGTCAAGAGTTCGAGAATGGCCTGGCCAAACCCTGTCTCTACTAAAAATACAAAAATTATCCGGGGTGGTGATATGTGCCTGTAATCCCAGCTACTCAGGAGGCTGAGACAGGAGGATTGCTTGAACCTGGGAGGTGGAGGTTTCAGTGAGCCAAGATTGTGCCACTGCACTCCAGCCTACGTGACAGAACACGACTCCAAAAAAGAAAAAGAAAAGAAATACTTAATCTGTATTTAGATTTCCTAAAATGTTAAAAAAGTAGATTTATATACCCAAGAGTATTCCAGACATACTTAAAATTTACCAATAACTGAATTATTGATTTTTAAATCTAAATGTAATTAAATAAAACTTAAAATTCAGTTCATTTGTACTAGCCACATTTTAGGTCCTCAGCAGCCATCTATAACTTGTGTCTACCATTTTGAACAGCACAGGTTTAAAATTCTCACAGGAAGGCAGGACCTCAGGGATTATCTCTTTCTTAATAGGCACTAGGGAGGGCATTAGGAGTTGAGAAGGCTGCATTCTGGCTTTACTAATAGTCTTACTAGCTGAGTGACCATAAACCAATAATTTTATTTCATGGTGCCTTCAACAAATAGGTATTGCCCCTGCACTGCCTCAATCACAGAGATTTATATGAGGGTGGAATAAAATAGATTTGAAAGAAGCATATAAATGATGAGACTCCATAAAATAAGAAATCCTCACTCCAGAGTCCTTTCCACTCATGATACCTCTGCTTCTTGAGATGGTTCAAGTGTTAGCCAGTCTGATGTCAAGCCTGGAAAAACTACAAGATGATAATAAAGATCTCCCAATTCCTTTAGGACAAGAATTACTCTATATGTCTTGATGTTCCCTTCTGAGGTAAGAAGCCGCCTTACACTAGCTGGCTGTTGGAGTTCTGCTCTTGGTGACCAGTGTATAATCTCTCATCTAGGTTTTTAGGATGATTGAAGAACGCCCCACATATGCCATCACTGTGCGTGTTTCCTACTTGGAAATCTATAATGAGAACCTGTTTGATCTCCTGTCCACTCTGCCCTATGTTGGACCCTCAGTCACGCCAATGACCATCGTGGAAAACTCTCAAGGGGTCTTCATTAAGGGCTTGTCAGTCCACCTCACAAGTCAGGAGGAGGATGCATTCAGCCTCCTTTTTGAGGTGAGATAACAAAACCTAAGTGTTCTTTTGCTTCTCCCCTTTCCTTTCTCCTTCTCAGTTTTTCTTTTTTTTCTTTTTTGAGACAAGATCTTGCTTTATCTCCAACGCTAGATTATACTGGCATGAACATGGCTCACTGCAGCCTCGACATCCTGGGCTCAAGTGCTCCTCCTGCCTCAGCCTCCCAAGTAGCTGGGACCACAGGCACTGCTATCATGCCCACTTAAATTTTTTTTTTTTTTTTTGTAGAGACAAGGTCTTACCATGTTGCCCAGACTGGTCTTGAACCCCTAGGCTCAAGCGGTCCTCCCACCTCAGCCTCTCAAAGTGCAGGGATTAAGGCAAGCCACTGTGACCAGCCAGTTTTTTTACTTACTTTGATTATCAGAATGAATTAATATATGCACATTAGGAAAGTTTGGATAGTGCTAAAAAATATATAGGAACAAAAAAGAATTTCATTTCCTTTTCCTTTCCAGTTCCATAAATAAAAAGAAAAAGAAAAAAATGTTTCATGCATAATCTGTTTTTTACACAAGGCAACAATAATGTATATTTTAGCTTATTTCCTTCCAGTCTTTTTTCCTGTGCAGTTTTTTTCTTTACATAGTTGTATTATTCTTATGTCCCTTTTTTCCAGTTAATATTAAGTTATGAGCTCTTTTGTGGAGAACATAAAAATTAGCATCCTTAGTATAAGGCCTCCAAAAGCTCTTGGAGGCCGGGCACCGTGGGCTCACACCTGTAATCCCAGCACTTTGGGAGGCCAAGGTGGGTGGATCACTTGAGATCAGGAGTTTGAGAGCAGCCAGACCAACGTGGTGAAACCCTGTCTCTACTGAAAATACAAAAATTAGCTGAGAGTGGTGGCACACACCTGTAATCCCAGCTACTCAGGAGGCTGAGGCCGGAGAATTGCTTGAACCTGGGAGGCAGAGATTGCAGTGAGCTGAGATCGCACCATTGCACTCCAGCCTGGGCGACAGAGCAAGGCTGTCTCAAAAAAATAAATAAAAGCTCTTAGAAACCAGTCAAATGGGCTGGGCACAGTGGCTCATGCCTGTAATTCCATCACTTTGGGAGGAGGCCAAGGCAGGCAGATCACTTGAGCTCATGAGTTCGAGACCAGCCTGCGTAACACAGTGAAACCCCGTCTCTACCAAAAATACAAAAATTAGCCAGGCATTGTTAGCACTTTGGGAGGCTGAGGTGGGAGGATACACTTGAGCCCAGGAGGTAGAGGTTGCAAGTGAGCTGAGATCACGCCACTGCACTCCAGCCTAGGTAATAGAGCAAGACTCAAAAACAAGAAAGAAAGAAATCAATCAAGTGTATGTTATTCTTTTAGAAGTCATGTAGGCTGGGAACTCTCTTTTTTTTTTTTTCGAGGTCTTGCTGTGTTGCCCAGGCAATGGGCATGTGTGCAGTGGCTATTCACAGGCATGATCATAGCGCCATCTCACAACATAGCAACTTACTTCCTCAACATCAATAGCAGGATATTTTTTAAAGGGTCAGAAAGACAAGGCAAGGCCAAGCGTGGCAGCTTATGCCTGTAATACCAGAATTGAGAGGCCGGGGCAGGCGAATCACTGGAAGTCAGGAGTTTGAGCCTAGCCTAGCCAACACAGTAAAACCCTCTCTCTACTAAAAATAAAAAATAAAAATAAAAAACAAAAAGAAAGACAAGGCAAAATCGTCCTTCAGAAGGGGTATGAAGAATAAAGGTGAATGACTGGATGTGGTGGCTCATGCCTGTAATCCCAGCACTTTGGAAGGCTGAATCAGGAGGATTGCTTGAGCTTAGGAATTTGAGACCCGTGCAGGCGACACAGCGGAACCCTGTGTCTACAAAAAATATAAAAATTAGCTGGGCATGGCGGCCTGCACCTGGGGTTTTAGCTGCTTGGGAGGCTGAGAAAGGAGGATCACTTAAGCCTGGGAGGTGGAGTTTGCAGTAAGCCAATATCACACCCCTGCACTCTAGCCTGGACAACAGAGTGAGACTGATCTCAAAAAAAAAAAAAAAAAAAAGATAGAAAGGTGAAGTGACCCCTTATATTCTTGGTGAGTGTCACTGGATTTGCAGAACCGGCCTGACCACAGACTATAGCCTCGTTGCTCTAAGCTATAGAGGTATAGCCACAGGGGTCTGCTAGGCTTGCTCCATAGCCTCAGTCAGTCCTTCCCTCTTTAGCAGGTGCTCTCCTCTCCCCAGGGTGTGCTGTTCCCCACCCCCACTTTGGGGCTCGTTCATAGCATTTCTCATCAGCATTGAAAGATACATCAGTCTATCCCTCAAGGACCTTTTTCTCTGAGAACAGCCATTTCCACCACATTCCTTTTTAAGTATATTCTGGTCATAAGGCCCACTCCTGTAAATTAGAGGCAAGGGCCTACTGTCCCTTTAAAAATACAAATTAATAGTTCAGATACAGTGGCTCATGCATGTAATCCCAGTATTTTAGGAGGCCGAGGTGAGCAGATCTCTTGAACTCATGAGTTCCAGACCAGCCTTGGTACATGGTGAAACCCTGTCTCTACAAAAAATACAAAAATTAGCCAGGTATGTTAGTGGACGCTTGTAGTCCCAGCTACTTGGGAAAGCAAGATGGGAGGATGGTTTGGTCCTGGGAGGCAGAGATTGCAGGAAGCTGAGATCGTGCCACCGCATTCTAGTATGGGTGACAGACTGAGATGCTCTCTCAAAAAAAAAAAAATTGTGAGCACTAAATAAATATAAATTTTTATTGTTTTTAAAGTAATACATGGTCACTAAAAAAAAAAAAAAAACCAGGCCGGGTGTGGTGGCTCACACCTGTAATCCCAGCACTTTGGGAGGCCGAGGCGGGTGGATCACGAGGTCAAGAGATCGAGACCATCCTGGTCAACATGGTGAAACCCCGTCTCTACTAAAAATACAGAAAATCAGCTGGGCATGATGGCGCATGCCTGTAATCCCAGCTACTCAGGAGGCTGAGGCAGGAGAATTGCCTGAACCCAGGAGGTGGAGGTTGCGGTGAGCCGAGATTGCGCCATTGCACTCCAGCCTGGGTAACAAGCGCGAAACTCCGTCTCAAAAAAAAAAAAAAAACAAAAAAACCCACAAAACTGTATAAAAAAGAAAAAATTACCTATAAACCCCAACCCAGAAGCAACTATTATTGACATCTTAGTAGCAGAATTCTGCTTATTTTTTCTGTGAATGCTTTTGCATTCCTTAGATCATACTATAATATGATTTTGGTTTCTACATTTCTGTTATTAAAAACTATGTGTCAGTATTTTCCTGGCTGCCTAATATTCCATCACATACATAGATCATTCCCAAATTGTTGGACATGCAGGTTGATTCTGATTCAATATTCATAAACATTTTGAAGTCTCTTGATTTTTTTTTTTTTGAGTCAGAGTTTTGCTGTCATTGCCCAGGTTGGAGTACAATGACACGATCTCAGCTCATTGCAACCTCCGCCTCCTGGGTGCAAGCAATTCTTCTGCCTCAGCCTTCTGAGTAGCTGGGATTATAGGCACAAGTCACCACACCCAGCTAATTTTTGTATTTTTAGTAGAGACAGGGTTTCAGCATGTTGCCCAGGATGGTCTCAAACTCCTGACCTCAGGTGATCCACTCGCCTCGGCCTCCCAAAGTGCTGGGATTATAGGCATGAGTCACCACACATGGCCCAAGGCTCTTGATTTTTTATTGTCACTTTGCTTTCCAGAAAGCTATAGCAATTCACACATCCCCAGCAGCAGGTGAAAGTGTAGATGTGGACTCCAATTTGACTCCCTTTCTATTAGTTTATAAAAGAGGTTTGCCTGGAAGCCCAGTTTATTGCAGTGATATGAGACCACTTGTGTGGCTATCAGTGTAATTGAAAAACGACCCAAATGCCTTGTCATTTTAGTTTTTCACAATGTTGTCTATGATTCCCTTCCTCTTCAGGGAGAGACCAACAGGATTATAGCCTCCCACACTATGAACAAGAACTCTTCCAGATCTCACTGCATTTTCACCATCTACTTGGAGGTAGGTACAAGCTCCTTGATCAGCCCAGGTTGGGCAGTCAATTCCCATGGGGCCTGCTCAGTCAGAAACTTCTCCCTGTGACAGTCTAACTGCAGCCTGGATGTTTTGTAGGCCCATTCCAGAACCTTATCAGAGGAAAAGTACATCACTTCCAAAATTAACTTGGTGGATCTGGCAGGCTCAGAGAGGCTGGGGAAGTCTGGGGTAAGTGATGGGGGATGGAGTTGCTACTCAGTAAGCCACGAGTTCTTTTTCTGGCACAGCGCCCACACATTTGGGCCATTACTCGCTGGATATTTGTGAACACAGTCCTGAGCTAGGCGAAGTGGGAAATGTGGACTTGCTGGATGGGCAGGATTGGCAAAGGTGGAACAGCTATTACCAACAGGCAGTTCCTACCTCAGAGGACTTTTGTAAACATTAAATGAGATAGTGCCCTCTATATTCTTAGCAAAGTGCCTGGCACTCAGTGCTCAGTAAATGTTCCTTGCTAGTATAACATATCTCCGTGTGTGTATTTGTTGTTATTTTGAGACAGTCTTGCTCTGTCTCCCAGGCTGGAGTACAGTAGCGCAAACATGGCTCACTGCAGCCTTGACCTCCCAGGCTCAAGTGATCCTCCTACTTCAGCCTCCCAAGTATCTGAGACCACAGGTGTGTACCACCATGATGGGCTAATTTTTAATTTTTTTGTAGAGATGGGGTCTTGCTACCTTGCCAAGGCTGAACTCCTGGGCTCAAGCAATCCTCCTGCTTCGGCTTCCCAAAGTGCTGGGATCACAGCCGTGAGCCACTACACCTGGCTTCTTTGTGAATTAATATGAATATTCATATGAGGATTTGCATGATTATTTCAAATAAATATTTGTATCAGTATATTAGCACAAGTATTAACACGAGTGTTCACACGCGCATTTGTATGTGCATTTATGAATGTGTGAATATTTGCGGTATTCTTTGCTTAAGTATCTGGACAAATATTCCAGTGCATATTCGTGTTAGTGTGAATCTTTGAGTGAATGTCCGTATGAATGTTCATGTAAGCATTCACATTCGCATGAGCATTCACATGCTTGTTCGCATGAGCATTTCTGTGTTTTGGTATTACCATTATTAGCCCAAGATGGAATACAATCCCATGGCATTGGAGGAGGACCCTGGTTCTGGGAAGGAGGCTGTGACCTGACTACAGACTTATAGCATTTCTCCAGACCAGGAAGACTGCTATTCTTTTGTTGTTGCTTTGAGATGGAGTTTTGCTCTTGTTGCCCAGGCTGGAGTGCAATGGCACAATATCAGTTCACCACTACCTCCTCCTCCTAAGTTCAAGTGATTCTCCTGCCTCAGCCTCCCATGTAGCTGAGATTATAGGCATGTGCCACATGCCTATAATCCTGGCTAATTTTGTAGTTTTAGTAGAGATGGGGTTTCTCCATGTTGGTCAGACTGCTCTTGAACTCCCAACCTCAGGTGATCCGCCCGCCTCGGCCTCCCAGAGTGCTGGAATTACAGGTGTGAGCCACTGTGCCCAGCCAAAGACTGCTATTCTTAGTGGGGCAGCTACTTTATTCCATCCAAAGTAGAACTGACCTTTGCTTTGTAGTCTGAGGGCCGAGTCCTGAAGGAAGCCACCTACATCAACAAATCGCTGTCGTTCCTGGAGCAGGCCATCATTGCCCTCGGGGACCAGAAGCGGGACCATATCCCCTTTCGGCAGTGCAAGCTCACCCATTCTCTGAAGGACTCCTTAGGTGAGGGGGTACAGTTGCTGCCCAGGGAGGAGGGTCTGTATCTTTGGGAAGGAACAGGTTTGGCACATCTGCCACTGACGATAATAAAATTGCTCCCTTCTGGTGGCACGGATTCATTTCCAGCACATTTACAGTGACTTCAGACACCTGGAAAGGCAGAATCAAGCCCTGTGCCCAGAACATAACATGCTATTCACTCCTCAGAACTTTCCTTAGGCTTTTACGTGTCCTGGGAAACCTTTTATCCCCTTGTCCCGAGGGGACTGCTGGCAGAATCCTTCACAGCCTGAAGACTTGGGGTGAGGGCCTCTCTCCCATGGTGCCTTCCTTTTCCCTGCAACCTTCTGGACAGAGCAGCAGGGGCTGTGTCTTATCATCCCCATGGCCTGCGTTGAGCCTGACAGTACAGTCACTGGTGTCTGACGGTTATCTGAGTGCCACCCTTAGCAAAGCTCCGACTCGTGGCTCCCTCTCCTGCCCCACCCCTCCCTGCCCTGTACCATCTCTCCTCTGCTGTTTTCTCCTGGATCCTCTTTTAGATACATCTGGTGGCCTCTTTCTCTCTTCCCCTTACCTCTCAGCCTCACAGATATGTATTTCCTCTCTGACCCTGTCTCGGTTCAGGCTGCTATAAGAAAATACCGTAAACTGCCAGGCACAGTGGCTCATGCCTGTAATTCCAGCACTTTGGGAGGCTGAGGGGGGTGGATCACCTGAGGTCGGGAGTTCAAGACCAGCCTGATCAACATGGTGAAACCCCATCTTTAGTAAAAATACAAAACTTAGCTGGGCATGGTGGCACATGCCTGTAATCCCAGCTACTCGGGAGGCTGAGGCAGGAGAATCGCTTGAACCCAGGAGGCAGAGGTTGCGATGAGCCAAGCTTGCACCATTGTACTCTAGCCCGGTCAACAAGAGCGAGTCTCGAAAGAAAGAAAGAAAGAGAGAGAGAGAGAGGAGAGAGAGAGAGAGAGAGAGAGGGAGGGAGAGGGAGAGAGAAAGAAAGAAAGAGAGAGAGAGAAAGAAAATATCATATACTAAGTGGCTTAAACACTAGGCCTTTATTTCACATAGTTCTGGAGACTGGAAAGTTCAAGATCCAAGTGCCAGCAGATTCAATGCCTAGTGAGGGCCTTATTCCTGGCTCGCAGATGGCCACCTTCTTGCTGTATCCTCACATGGAAAGAAAGAGAGGGCCCTGGTCTCTTTTCTTATAAGGACACTAACCCCATCATGGGGGCCCCACCCTCATGACTTTAACTAAACCAAATTACCTCCCCCTTCCAAAGTCTTCCCAACCGAATACCATCACATCGGGGGTTACGACTTCAACATGTGAATTTTGTAAGGACAAAAACAGTCAGTCCTGGCCAGCTGTGGTGGGACACACCTGTAATCCCAGCATTTTTGGGAGGCTGAGGCAGGAGGATTGCTTGAGGCCAGGAGTTCAAGACCAGCCTGGGCAACATAGCAAGACCTTGTCTCTACTAAAAACAAAAAAAATTAGTCAGGTGTGGTGGCATGCACCTGTAGTCCCAGCTACTCGGGAGGCTGAGGCAAAGGATTGCTTGACCAGGAGATTGAGGCTGCAGTGAGCTATAATCATGTCACTGCACTCCAGCCTGTGTGACATAGTGAGACCCCATTTCAAAAAACAAAAAACATTCCGTGTATAACAGACCCCACCAGCTCCTTTGGAGCAGAAGAACCACATGGTTCACAGTCCCTTCTGTGTCTTGTTTTCTGCAGGGGGAAACTGCAATATGGTCCTTGTGACAAACATCTATGGAGAAGCTGCCCAGTTAGAGGAAACGGTATGTAAAGACAGTCAATGAAACGTTGGAATCCCTCCTCATGGGTGCCAGGGCAGGGTAAGCCTGGCTAAGCTGGCACAGTGACCACAGACATTGTCAAGAGTGAAAGGATCTAGGCGTGAGTCTGAGCCACAGTTGCTGAGGGGCCCCAGAGCCAGGATCCACACACCAAGCACTGAGCTGTGTGGAGGAAGAGGGCCAGGCAGGAGGTGGGCTCAGCGTGAGGGACCGTGCGAGGAGAGACGCTGAGAGCCAGCTTTGTGGAGACAAGGACCACGTTTCCTGGGGTGCTGCTCCTAGAAATGGGATCGAAAAGGATCATTGATCACTTGTTCTTTACAATCACACACATTTAAACATCTTGAAACCCCCACAGGGTTCCAGGCTGTGGCTATAAGGCCAGTATGAGCAGATGGTCTTAAGCACCTGCCATGTGCACCGTGGTAAGTAGGAATAGCCTGGAAGAAATTAGCCATAAATGGCCTTGGGCCTCAGCATCCTCAACCCAGAAAGAGAGAGAAACCATAGTCTTAAGTGACGTGAGGTCCAGAGAGAGGAGACCTTCAGAGGAAGCCAGGATGGGGGTGAAGGGGAACTTTTCTTTAAGCTGGAGTTGGGCATGGAGCTGGCTGGGGTTAAAGGATTGGCAGTAGGATGAGCAGAGGTACTCCTGGCAGAGGTAACAGTGGGACTGAAGATGTGACCCACACCAGGAACATCTGACTACTGTGGGGGTTTAAGGGTCTCAGGAAGAAGAAGAAAAGAAATCACAGGGGCTGAATGGGCCCTGGTGGCCTGGCTGAGGCCTTGGCTCTTCCACAGGTGGCTGGAGCTGTCACAGGGTTTGAGTAGGGAAGGCTGTGGCCAGAGGTGGGATTACTCAGGGAGATTATCCACATGGCAGGTTGTTGGCCTAGAGAAGGGAGAAGCTTGTGAGAATTAGAGGCAGGAATAAAGGTCTAGCCCAGTGACACAGGTGAGTCCACACAGCTGAGCACCTTCAGCCTGGGGCTTTCCCAACTTTCCTCTGACGTGCCACCTATCATAAGTAAGACAGATTAGGAAAGCTGTCATTAGACATTTTACTTTTCAAGTATGGATGTTTAGGGCAAGCTTCAGTCACCTAGAGAATCCACTTAGGTAATCAGGTTTTTTCCAAAGATGCTTCAGGGCAAGACACGCCTGCAGGGTCTCCCAGCTGTGTGCATTAGGGACTATCCCATCTTCCAAGGAGAGTGCTCCTGTCAAACATCCAGCACCCTTGGACTTGGGAGGCAGGGCAGGAGAGTTCCAGCTGACATGTGAGGCAGCATCCCCAGAGGAAGGCTTCTGGAACCTCTTGGTCTCATGGGATTAAAAAAAAAAAAGCATAGTGCCGGCCAGGCGCAGTGGCTCACGCCTGTAATCCCAGCACTTTGGGAGGCCGAGGTGGGTGGATCACAAGGTGAAGAGATCGAGACTATCCTGGTCAACATGGTGAAACCCCGTCTCTACTAAAAATACGAAAATTAGCTGGGCATGGTGGCGCATGCCTGTAATCCCAGCTACTCAGGAGGCTGAGGCAGGAGAATTGCCTGAACCCAGGAGGCGGAGATTGCGGTGAGCCGAGATCGCGCCATTGCACTCCAGCCTGGGTAGCAAGAGCGAAACTCCATCTCAAAAAAAAAAGCATAGTTGAGGCCAGGCGCAATGGCTCATGCCTGTAATCCCAGCACTTTGGGAGGCCAAGGTAGGTGGATCACTCCTTGAGGTCAGGAGTTTGAGACCAGCCTGGCCAACATGGTGAAACCCCGTCTCTACTAAAAATACAAAAATTAGCAGGGCATGGTGGTAAGTGCCTGTAGTCCCAGCTACTCAGAAGGCTGAGGCAGGAGAATTGCTTGAACCCTGGAGGCGGAGGTTGCAGTGAGCTGAGATTGGGCCACTGAACTCCAGATGGGTGACAGAGCAAGACTCCATCTCAAAAGAAAAAAAAAAAACGGCTGGTTCCGGGCGGTCCCTTAGCTTTTGGATTAGCTGCGCCATGTGTGCTGCTCGGCTAGCGGCGGCGGTGGCCGCCCAGTCAGTGTACGCCTTCTCGGCGCGACCGCTGGCCGCTGGGGAGCCTGTGAGCCTGGGTTCCCTGCGGGGCAAGGTGCTGCTTATCGAGAATGTGGCGTCCCTCTGAGGCACCACGGTCCGGGACTACACCCAGATGAACGAGCTGCAGCGGCGCCTCGGGCCCCTTGTGGTGCTCGGCTTGTGGTGCTCGGCTTCCCGTGCAACCAGTTTGGACATCAGGAGAACGCCAAGAACGAAGAGATTTTGAATTCCCTCAAGTACGTCCGACCTGGTGGTGGGTTCGAGCCCAACTTCATGCTCTTCGAGAAGTGCGAGGTGAATGGTGCGGGGTCGCACCCTCTCTTCGCCTTCCTTCGGGAGGCCCTGCCAGCGCCCAGCGACGATGCCACTGCACTCATGACAGACCCCAAGCTCATCACCTGGTCTCCGGTATGCCGAAACGATGTTGTATGGAACTTTGAGAAGTTCCTGGTGGGCCCTGACGGTATTCCTGTGCGCAGGTACAGTCGCCGCTTCCAGACCATTGACATCGAGCCTGACATCGAAGCCCTGCTGTCCCAAGGGCCCAGCTGTGCCTAGGGCGCCCCTCCTACCCCAGCTGCCTGGCAGTTGCAGCACTGCTCTCTGGGGGATTTTCATCTATGAGGGTGTTTCCTCTAAACCTACAAGGAGGAACACCTGATCTTCCAGAAAATACCCCCTAGAGAATGGGCACTGGTCCTGTCCATCCCAGTCTCTGCCAGACCAAGGTGAGTTTCCCCACTAATAAAGTGCCAAGTGTTAGCAAAAAAAAAAAGAAAAAAAAAACATGTTATAAGAAAGATGTCCTCCAAGATAGTAGAAGCTCCTCGTCTCCCTTTACCCCCTGTGATGCTTACAGGTCAGGAAGCAACTTTCCTGGTACCTGCAATCTCAAGGACTTGTACCCATACCAATTGGGGTCTCTGCCCAGGACTGAACCCACAGAGCCCAGAGGAACTGGTGGAGGGTCTCAGGTCTCAGGGGTTTGGGACAAAAGTATATTGGGGATACGGAAGCTAATGATTCTCTTCTCCATATGTGTTGAAACTTTAAAATGGTTCTCGTTATGGATTGTGCTTTATGCAGTGGCACTGTACATGTGTGTGTGAGTAACGACAGTGATGGGTCACCGTACTCACTGCTGTGCTTGGAGCAGGAGAGTCTGATTTGGCCCTGCGCAGAAACGACACCACCTGTAATGACAGAGACACCTTCCTGAGGGCTCACTGTGAGCCAGCTCTAAACAGAGCACATTATACACCTTATCAAGGCAGCTCTCCCCTCACCTGACAGAGAAGTTGTGAAATCTGTCAATGGCCACGCAGGTGGTCAGTGGCTGTGCTCGGAGCCACCAGAGTAGACTGCCCAAGGAAGAGCCCTTTCAGTCTTTCCTCTGGGCCACTTAGGGGCAAGCCATCCCTACTCTTAGCCTGCTTCCTCATTTCAGGATCATTCATTGAGATAGGAGACAGCCCAGGATGGTCTGAGGCTGGAATCTCTAGACCTGCCTCCTGAGGCCACTGGCTGTTTCTCATTGCCAACGAGGAGCCCTCCACCCCTCAGCTAGCATCTGCAGTAGCACGATCTCGGCTCACCGCAACCTCCACCTCCCAGGTTCAAATGGTTCTCCTGCCCCAGCCTCCCAAGTAGCTGCAATTACAGACATGCTCCACCATGCCTGGATAATTTTGTATTTTTAGTAGAGAGGGGGTTTCTCGTTGGTCAGGCTGGTCTCGAACTCCCGACCTCAGGTGGTCCACTCACTTCGGCCTCCCAAAGTGCTGGGATTACAAGCAGGAGCCATTGCACCTGGCCAATTTCTTAGTAATTTTTAAATGTTGATTACATGTTGAAATTATAATATTTTGGGGCCAGGTACAGTGGCTCATACCTGTAGTCCCAGCTATTCAGGAGGCTGAGGTGGGAGGATTGCCTGAGCCCCAAAGGTTGAGGCTGTAGTCAGCTATGATTGTGCTATTGCACTCCAACCTGAATGACAGAGCAAGACCCTGTCTCAAAAAAATAAAGCAAAACGAACAAACAAAAAACCACAAACAAACAAAGCATAATATTTTGGATACCTTGGGTTAAAATTTACATTAAAGATATTAATATTATTTTCATCTACTTACTTTTCCTATATGATTACTAGAAAATATAAAATTACACATATGACTTACATTTGTAGTTTGCATTATATCTCTGTTGGACATGGCTGATCTAGACCCTGAAAATTGCATGAAGGAGGCAGAACACTGTGGAAGGAGACTCTTTCATGTGAAAGAAAACCAGGAGGGCTTCAAGAAGGAAGCTGGTTTTCAGCTGAGCCTTGAAAAGAGAGTGGAACGTGGGAAGGCAGACAGCATGGGAGGACAGAAAAGGGTACTCCAGACGGGGGTTGCCTGAGCAGAGGCCTAGAGGTAGAAGATGGTCAGGTCTGAATGAAGAAATAGACCAGCACGTATTGTCATAGTTTACGTGACGAGGACCAGGCTGCCATATGTGCCCTCTGTCAGCTTCCTGCTCTTCTCTTGGGGACCTCATACCCAAGAACCCTTTTCACCAATGTCCTGCAGGGGAAAAGAACCAACATAACCAACACGGGTTGACAAGGGAGCCTGGGAGCCAGGAAAGGGCAGGCAGGGTCTCTGAGAAGGCCAGTCTCTTGGGGCCTCACTTTAGTGGTAAGCCATCTGACGTCTACCTGGTCTGTTTTTCAGCTGTCTTCACTGAGATTTGCCAGCAGGATGAAGCTAGTCACCACTGAGCCTGCCATCAATGAAAAGTATGATGCTGAGGTACAGCAGGGATTGTGGGCAGTTGTCCCACTGTGGGGAAGGTGTGTGGGTTTGCTACTTAGGTCACACAAGCCTGGCTTCCCTTCCTGCCTCAACCAAAGATCCCCATGCAGCCCTGGGTCAGTCCCTTTCCACCCCTGGACTGGCCAGAGTCTTCAGAGTCCCTGGAGACCTTTAGGGGCTGACATGGGGTGAAAGGGCAAGGCCACCAACAAGTTCACATATGGGGCTCTAGGAACTCTGGGTGCTGTAGACTTCTACATGAGATTTCCTTAGAGCTAAGGTCACCTGGCTGTGTCACTACAGAACAGAGCTGGCCAATCAGAGGGGGTGCTCAGCATCACCATTAACCAGGGAAATACAAATTAAAACCTCAGTGGAATTCTATTCTCAACTTAGCAAAAATTAGAATGATGATGAGAATGTGGAGAAATGGAAACTCTTGTCCACTTCTGGTCAAAGTGTAATTGACACAACCGCTTTGGAGAGCATTCTGGCAACATCTGTATAGTAAAAGCACAGTTATTGTTAATTTAGCTTTCCTCTAAGATGCTTATGGAATCATAGCTCAAAGAGAAAGGAGGATTTGCAAGCCCTAAGGTTGACAAGCCAGCTAAACTTTTCAGATTCTAAATCCTGAAGGAAAATGACCGTCCCTGTGGCTCTGTGGAACAAACCCATGGTTTGGAGATTGGGGAGGGAGTGGAACTGAGAGCAGTTGTTCTCATGTGAGAAGGCATCAGAATCGCCTGGCTGATGTGGAACCACAGATCACTAGATCCATTCCCAGTGATTCTGAGAGTTTCTGATTCCCTTTTTTTTCTTTTCTTTTTAAAAATTTTCATCTTAAGGTCGGCTTCTATCCCATTTCTAGTAAGTTTCTAGGCCCTTTTATGACACCGATACCTGCTCTCTTGGGGCCACACTTTGAGAACCACTGGCATCCTAGTGAAGGCCATGGCAGCTGGATTGGGCTCTCCTGGGTTTAGCACTCTGCTCTTTCCTCCATTAGCTGTATATAGTCTCAGCAAAATACCTGGAGTGTTTTTTTTTTTTTTTGAGACAGAGTCTCCTTGTGTCACCTGAGCTGGAGTGCAGTGGTATGATCTTAGCTCACTGCAGCCCTGCCTCCTGGATTCAAGTGGCTCCTGCCTCAGCCGTCTGAGTAATTGGGATTACAGGCATGTGCCGCCATGCCCAGCTATTATTTGTTTTTTTGTTCTTTGAGACAGAGTCTTGCTCTGTCACCCAGGCTGGAGTGCAGTGGTGCAATCTCAGCTCACTGCACCTTCCACCTCCAGGGCTGAAACCATTCTCTTGCTTCATCCTCCCAAGTAGCTGGGACTTCAGGCACCCACCACCACACCTAGATAATTTTTGTGTATTTATTAGAGACAGGGTTTCACCACGTTGGCCAGGCTGGTCTCGAACTTCTGACCTCAGGTGATCCACCCGCCTTGGCCTCCCAAAGTGCTGGGATTACAGACATGAGCCACCAAGCCCGGCCAAAATACCTATGCTTTCTAAGTCTCAGTTTCTTCATTTGTAAATTGGGTAGATAACAGAATCCATGCTCAAAGAGATCCTATGAAGAATGAGATAATGTGTAGAAACCTCTCAGCATAGTGCTGTCATGGGGTAAATGTTCAATGAATGTTGGTCAGCACTCCTCCCCCATCTGCAGTGTTGCTTCTAGGTGTATATAGTCGAGAGATATTATCACATGGGTGAGAGACTATAGAAGTCACTATTACAACAAGCACTGTCAGCGCCATTCGTCTATAGAGTCTGTAAGTCTCTTTATAGACTTATTGTAATAGTGATTAAACAGTAACTCTTTATAGTACTTATTGTAATAGTGAAAAATTGGAACATAATCAATATCCTTTAACAGAAGAGTAGCTAAATGAGTTGTGGGATGAGGGAGCCAGAGCTAGAGCTACCAGCATGGATATATCTCAAATGAGAAAAAAACTAGATGCCTGAAGCGGCCCAAATGATAGCCTCTGTTATTTACACCAACATCTAAAAACATGCAGAGAGATGCTGATATCAACTGGATATAAGTGTGTGCAGTAAAAGAAAAAATGCATGGCATGAAAACACCCAGACTGAGGCCAGAGGTTCCTTTTGGGATGGGAAGGGAGTGGATTTGGAGCGTGGCATACAGAAGCTTCACATTTATCTGAAATGTTTTACTTCTTAAAAAAAAAATCCCTGGGTCGAACACAGTGGCTCATGCCTGTAATCCCAGCACTTTAGGAGGCAGGCAGATCACTTGAGGCCAGGAGTTCAAGACCAACCTGGACAACACGGAGAAACCATGTCTCTACTAAGAAATAGAAAAATTAGCCAGGTGTGGTGGTACACACATGTAATTCCAGCTGCTCGGGAGGCTGAGGCATGAGAATCGCTTGAGCCTGGGAGGCAGAGGTTGCAGTGAGCCAAGATCATGCCACTGCACTCCAGCCTGGACAATAGAGCAAGACTCTGTCTCAAAAAAAAAAAAAAAAAAAAAACAACAACAACCCTGAAGCCAATATGACAGCATGCTGTTGAAGTCACATTTTGGGGTGGTTTGTTCAGGTTTAATGGCATTATTTTGTATGCTTTTCTGTATTCTTGAAGCTTTTTTTTTTTTATCTCTTCTTTTTTCTTTTTTGAGATGGAGTTTCGCTCTTGTTACCCAGGCTGGAGTGCAATGGCGCGATCTTGGCTCACCGCAACCTTCGCCTCCTGGATTCAGGCGATTCTCCTGCCTCAGCCTCCTGAGTAGCTGGCATTACAGGCACCTGCCACCATGCCCAGCCAGTTTTCGTATTTTTAGTAGAGACAGGGTTTCACTGTGTTGGCTGGTGTCCAACTCCTGACCTCATGATCTGCCCACGTCAGCCTCCCAAAGTGGTGGGATTGCAAGTGTGAGCCACCTCACCTGGCCTTCTTATCTTTTCTTATTTGGTGTTCCCTTAGCTCAGGATTATCAACACTGCTACCTGTGAACCTGGCTGGGTGGATGTCGTACCTGGCCCCTATTTTTATTTTTTTGACAAGGTCATGCTTGGTCACTCAGGCTGGAGTGCAGAGGTGCAGTCATGGCTTGCTGTAGCCTCAACTGCCTCGGCTCAAGCAATTCTCCCACCTCAGCCTCCCAAGTATCTGGGACCACAGGCCTGCGCCACCACACCTGACTAATTTTTTTTTTCTATAGCGACGGGGTCTCCCTGTGTTGCCCAGGATGGTCTTGAGCTCCTGGACTTTGGGGTTCCTTTTACCTCAGCCTCCCAAAGTGCTAGGATTACAGGTATGAGCCACCATGCCTGGTGAAGTTGGAGGATCATGCTCTTTCATGTAATTTCTGTTCTAAGATCTGCACAGTTGGTCCTGGACAGCCGAGTGAGTCTCTGTGCCATCCAGTATAAATGTGTTTATAATCTTTCTGTTCAACATTTTTCTTTACAAACATCAGTTCTTGAGAGAGAAGTGGAAAAATTATTTTGGTTGCTTCCTTTCCTAGACTGTAGCCAGCATTCTCCGGTCATTTTCAGCACTGTCTTTGGCACTGACACCTGTTTTCAAAGAGGTGGAATTGCTTCTTCAGCATTTCTTTGGCGGTGGGGCTGGCTGTAAGGCAGAAGACTGGGTTCCTAATCCACCTCTACCACGAGCTCTCTGGCGAGTTGCTCTGACCTCAGCCTCAGGGTCGTCCTTTGTGAACCATGAGGTTGGCCTGATGACCTCCAGTGACCCTCCCACTCTGTCAGTCTGTGGTTCTGTGAAGTGATGTAAAGGGCTGTGAGCCTCAGGCGTAAACAGACAGCGGAGAGAACCTCAGTGTACCCCACTCTGCCAAGAGAAGATACCCCGGCAAGCTGCGGTGGGATGAAAGGGAGAAAACTGCCTGAGCCGAGAGCTTCCCCACAGCCTGTTGTGGAGCTTACGCAGAAGTCTCTGAATTATCCTCATTACATTTATGATGAAAATGCCTGTTAGGAAACTTACATGTGTCTGTGCTGTTCCAAGGCATTTTTTCTATCTAAAAAATGCCCCTGTTTTTGTTGTTGTTGTTTTTGTAACAGGGTCTTACTGTGGCCCAGGCTGGAGTGCAGTGGCACGATCTTGGCTCACTGCAACCTCCACCTCCCAGGTTCAAGCGATTCTCCTGCCTCAGCCTCCCGAGTATCTGGGATTACAGGCATGTGCCACTGCACTCGGCTATTTTTTTTTTTTTTTGTATTTTTAGTAGAAATGGGGTTTCACCGTGTTGGCCAGGCTAGTCTTGATCTCCTGACCTCAAGTGATCTGCCTGCCTGGGCCTCCTAAAGTGCTGGGATTACAGGCATGAGCCACGGTGCCCAGCCTCCTACATCACCTTCTGATTGGCCCAGACATATAAGTTTGGCTCTGCTGTGCCTCCCTGAACAGTCATCAAGCTGGAGGCCCCTGACAGCTCAAACTTTCTATAGCTGGGCCATGATATATTTTCTAGAGCTGGGAGAAGGAGGGATATGTGGACACGTGGGACTGGCTACCACGCCTCCCCACTTGATCCCACAGGAAGCTGACCCCTGAAGGAGACCTGCTTGGGGCTTCCCAGAGGGGCAGATCCAGGATCTGGACACTGGTCACATGCCTTGGGTTCCAGGCTTTGTGCCTGAATTGCTACAGAGCCATCAAGATACCAAGGGTTCTGTTGACCCTTGCTATGTGAGGGCAGATGGGCCTCGGTGCCCAGGTGACCTGGTTAGATGAAGGTTAGAGTATAGCAGGCCTTTGGTCTGGGAGACGGCCAGTGGGGCAGTGGACTGGTCATAGTTTTGGTCACCAGTCCCAGGATCCAGGTGTCAGGGGCTCCCTCCAGTGGTCCTTTTATGACAACTAAAGGAAGTCTTACTGTTCATAGCGAGGGTTCTCAGCTTGAAGTTCCTTGTGCCTCTTTTAGGGAAGACAGTCAGATAGTATCTACCAAATATAAAATGACTTAGCAATTCTTCTCCTCAAGATGTATCATTTATTTACTTACCTAAAATCTATGGAGTGCTTACTATGTGCCAGGCGCTTTTTAAAGCACTTGGGATGTCTGACTGCATGAACAGAAACACAAATCTCTGAGCTTGCAGTCTCTTGGGAGTAGGAGAGATACATAAAAATAATAACAATAAATAGGTAAGTTTTAAAGCTTCGCTGTTTAAGACAGTAACTGCTACTCAAATGTGGCTGTTTAAATTAATTAAAATTAGAGTCACTTCTTCAAGCACCCTAGCCACGTTTCGTTTTCAGTAGTTCTACGTGGCTCATCATTATTATACTGGGCAGCACAAATACGGAACATTTCAGTCATTACAGAGAATTATATCAGCACTAATCTAGAGTATATTAAAAGGTAAAACGTGCTATGAAGAAACATTAGAGATTTTTATTTTTGTTATTTTATTTTATTTTATTTTTTTGAGATGGAGTTACCCAGACTGGAGTGCAGTGGTGTGACCTCGGCTCACTGCAACCTTCGCCTCCTAGGTTCAAGCAATTATCCTACCTCAACCTCCCGAGTAGCTGGGATTACAGGCAAGTGCCACCATGCCTGGCTAATTTTTTTGTATTTTTAGTAGAGATGGGGTTTCACCATATTGGCCAGGCTGTTCTTGAACTCCTGACTTTGTGATCTGCTCGCCTCGGCCTCCCAAAGTGCTGGGATTACAGCATGTTGCAGGGGTAGGGAAGGAATTACAATTTTTTTTTTTTTTTTGAGACAGGATATCACTTTATCACTCAGGCTGGAGTGGAGTGGCATGATCTCAGCTCACTGCAACCTCCGCCTCCCAGGTTCAAGCAATTTCTTCTGTCTCAGCCTCCCTAGTAGCTGGGATTACAAGCGCCTGCCACCATGCCTGGCTAATATTTGTATTTTTTGTAGAGATGGGTTTTGCCAGGCTGGTCTCAAATTCCTGACTTCAGGTGATGCACCTGCCTCGGCCTCCCTAAGTGCTGAGATTACAGGTGTGAGCCACCACACCTGGCCAGAATTACAATTTTAAAGAGTAATTGTGGCTCACCTAATTTAGAAGCTTTTGAATAAAGATTTTAAGGAGGTAAGTGAATGAGTCTTTTTTTTTTTTTTTTTTGAGATGGAGTCTCATTCTGTTGTCCAGGCTGGAGTGCAGTGGCACAATCTCGGCTCACTGCAATCTCCGTCTCCCAGGTTCAAGTGATTCTCCTGCCTCAGCCTCCCGAGTAGCTGGAACTACAGGTGCATGCTGCCACGCCTAGCTAATTTTTGTATTTTTAATAGAGATGGGTTTCATAATATTGTTCAGGCTGGTCTCAAACTCCTGACCTCAGGTGATCCACCCACCTCAGCCTCCCAAAGTGCTGGGATTATAGGCATGGGCCACTGTGCCTGGCCGTGAATGAGTCTTGGAAATACCTAGGAGAAGAACATCCCAGGGCAAAGGACAGGCAGTGCAGAGGCAGGAGCATACCAACTTGTGGAAGTGGTTGGCGTGTACCAGGGGAGAGAAGCAGAAAAGAGGTAATGGGGGAAGATCTCAAAAAGCCTCATATATCACTGTGTTATTCTACAGAAATCTATAAGGACATAAATACATGAGTATGAAAATGTTCTTGCAGCATTGTTTGTAAGCAGCAAAAAATTAGAGGTGAGGTTGGGCGCAGTGGCTCCCACCTGTAATCCCAGCACTTTGGGAGGGCGAGGTGGATGGATCACCTGAGGTCAGGAGTTCAAGACCAGCCTGGCCAACATGGCAAAACCCTGTCTCTACGATAAAATACAAAAATTAGCTGGACATGGTGGCGTGTCCTGTAGTCCTTACTACTCAGGAAGCTGAGGCAGGAGAATCACATTAACCCATGAGGTGGAGGTTACAATGAGCTAAGATCACACCATTTGTACTCCAGCCTGGGTAGCAGAGTGAGACCCCATCTCATAAAAAAAAAAAAAAATTAGAGGTGAAATACATGATTATCACTGGGTAGTGGTGGCATGTTCATGCAGTGGTTGGTGAGGATGAGGGTAAAAGGATGAGCATTATAACCATGCATAGTAACCATTGTGGAGGCCAGGCCCAGCGGCTCACACCTGTAATCCCAGCCCTTTGGGAACCCGAGGTGAGAGGATTGACTGAGCCCAGGAGTTTGATACCAGCATGGGCAACATGGTGGGACCCCTGTCTCTACAAAAGTTAACTGGGTGTGTACAGTGTGTACAGTAGTATGATCTGCTCAGGAGGCTGAGGTGAGAGGATTGCTTGAGCCCAGGAGGTTGAGGCTGCAGTGAGCCATGATAGTGCCACTGCACTCCAGCCTGGAGGACAGAGTGAGAGCCTGTTTCTAAAAAGAAAGAATTCTGGAGCCAGGTGCGGTGGCTCACGCCTGTAATCCCGGCACTCTGGGAGGCAGAGGCAGGTGGATCACCTGAGGTCTGGAGTTCGATACCAGCCTGGCCAACATAGTGAAACCCTGTGTCTACTAAAAGTACAAAAATTAGCTCGGTATGGTGGCAGGCACCTATAATCCCAGCTACTCGGGAGGCTGAGGCAGGAGAATCTCTCGGACCTAGGAGGCAGAGGTTGCAGTGCGCTGAGACTGAGCCATTGCATTCCAGCATGGGTGACAAGAGTGAAACTCCCTCCCCCTACAAAAAAAAAAAAAAAAAAGCATTCTGGAGTCTGTAGGCTGCACCAAAAGGGCCATTATCCTCTACCAGGATAATGGTAGAGGATAATGGCCCTGGGGCCCCTGGAAGTTGGGGTTTGAAGTGGCCCTGTGGCTTGTGCCGTCTCTTCTGTTGAAAGCAGCAAAGGCCAAGGGACTGTTCAGGTCCTCCCAGAACTCACTGGACTCTTCCCCAGCTCCCTAAACTCACACCACCTGGGTAAGAGTCATCAGTGGGGAGGGAATGGCCAGAAGCTGAAAGCATAGTCTGTGGATGCAGGAATGACCAGGATGTCTGGGCACAGAATGAGGAATTGTGCTCTTGGTGTGAAAGAGACAGGGTAACTTCTTTGACGACCCTTCCTGTTGGCCCCCACCCCACCATGTTTCCCGGCAGAGAATGGTCAAGAACTTGGAGAAGGAACTAGCACTGCTCAAGCAGGAACTGGCCATCCATGACAGCCTGGTAAGGGGCAAGAGGCAAGGGAGGAAGGCAGAGGTGCTGGTGCAGGGGCGACTAGAGGGACTGGGTCTAAGGACAGACAGCATGATGGGTCAAGGCCAGTGGCAGGTGCGGGGCAGGCTGAGTGGCAGGAAAGGGGCAGCAGCAAGGGGCCATGAGGGCAGGGAGTGGGGGCAGAGTCCTCCAGTGGTCCTGAGGGGCTTCCAGGCAGAGGAAGCACATGCCTTCTGCTCCTCATGATTCTCATGATGCAAAGTCTGCTGGGACTCAGCTAGCAGAGCCACTGTCTGGACTAGCAGGCCCCATGTCTGAGGGCCTTTCCTTTCCTCCCCGACCCCATTATCCTTCTCTGACCCAAGCACCTGGCCTGTGTGTCAGGCTGTCTGCCAGGAGCCGACGATGAAGGGAACGAGCCAGCTTGGGCAGTCAGGGACTATGCCCAGCCTCCCTACTTTGGATCTCAGAATGGTTCCTGTCACTCCTGCGTGGGCTCAGGTTCTTGTTACTTATCCAAATGTTCTTTATCCTCCTTCAAGACCAACCGCACCTTTGTGACCTATGACCCCATGGATGAAATCCAGATTGCTGAGATCAACTCCCAGGTGCGGAGGTACCTGGAGGGGACACTGGATGAGATTGATGTAAGGAACCCCGCTGTGACCACTGTGCTTAGCCAGTTTGGGCCTCCCTGTCCTGGGCACAGCCCAACACATGCTATGCTGGCCTCAGAACCTCACATGAATGGGTACAGTGGATGGAGGGTGATGCTGGACTCTTGATGTCAGGGACCCTTCAGCCCATCTCAGGGGCACAAGCACAAGCCGCAGAGCTGGGATTGAACCCCAGCTCAGCTGCCTCTTTGCTGACTGACCTTGGCAAAATGCTCAACCTCATGTACTTCAGTGGCCTCACCTACCCATTGGGGAGGGAAACGGAGGTGGGATTTACTGAGCTGCTGCACCTGGGGTGCTTGACTGTGCCTGCAGAATGAAGCTGAGAAAGGATGGTGGTCATGCTGGTTGTCTAGAACGTAGACCCCAGGACCCATGTTAAAGTAGGCCAAGGAGGGAGAAACAGCACAAGGAAGGGCCCTCAGCGGGGAAGGCTGCATCCTGTTTTCATAGTACAGTCCATCAAACCCCTCTTCTTGGAGACATGGGCAGACCCCCTGGCTATTACTGTGGGCAGCTCCAAGAGGTGGGCCTGGGACAACTAAGGGTGGACTCTTCTGGCCTTCACAGGAGAGGCAGTCCCAAATTAACCCTTGATCAAGGGCAATGCTGTGGGCTTTAGGGCCGGGGGAAGACAGTAACCTTCCTCCAGCCGCATGTGTATGTGTCTGTGCTCATGCAGACAGATCCATATATGGGCTCCATCTGAAGACAGCAGGTGGGACCTTATGGAAGTAAGAGAAAGGTGAGGAAATAGATTTTATTAAAAAAAAAAAAAAACTTTAGAAAGTATTTTCAAGGTAGAGAATCATTTTCATTTTATAGAGGTTTCCACTTAGAAGAGGTGGTTTTTATAGCCTCAGCAAATACATAGTTTTAAAATGATTAATTGGGTGTTTCTTTGCTCTGGAGGAGGGCTTGGCTGCCACTTTGCTGAGAGGCAGTGTGCAGGTGTCCTCTTCTCCAGACAGATGGTCCGGGGGTCAGCCAAGGGGTCTTGATTTCTCTAATAACACAGATGCAGCCTGGTCTCTCTAGGTGCCCTTGGTCTAGCCTCTGCCTTGCTCTCTTCCCTCCAGATAATCAACCTGAGACAGATCAAGGAGGTGTTCAACCAGTTCCGGGTGGTTCTGAGGTAAGAGACCCCCACCCCTGCCTCACTCCTACAATCAGGTTGCCATTTTTATCTCCTGTGGTCTGGGCACTTGCCTCCAAGGGCACCCCCTTCTTGCTTGCAGATGAATAGCCAAATCAGTCCTTGGGGCATGCTTGGATCCCTGGTGAATATTCATTGAGTCATTAATTGGACAGGAGTTTTTATGGAGTGTCAGCTCTGAGTGTGCCCAGAACAGGGCATTGTGAATATTCACCTTGTGAATATTGCCACACACACCCCCACCTCAGGGGGCATTTGTGGTTTATTTGAATGCAAACATACCCATAGTCTAAGCAGCTTACGCTCACAAAAGGTGGTATCACAAAAGCTGGTCACATGATTCCAAGGGGTTTCTTAGAGACAGAACCTAAGACAGAACCCCATATAGTCCCAAGTGAAGCTTACAGTCTTTATCAAGTGTCATCTTGCAGCAGACACACATGGCATAAGGTGGCCCCTGTGGGTTTGGGGGGTAGATGATGGGTGTATGCATTGGGGCAGAGGGAAATGAGTCCTTTGTCCTTTTGTCTAGTCTGGTTCATGATGAAAGTGTGGCCCCACACAAGGGACCTTGCCCATATGACTTTTAACCCCAGTACTTGGTTGTTGCCCCAGTGGATTCAGAATGGCCCCAGGTACAAGCTGTTCTCTCATGCTGTCTCCCAAGCCAACAGGAACAGGAAGTGGAGTCCACTTTGCGCAGGAAGTACACCCTTATTGACAAGAATGACTTTGCAGCCATTTCTGCTGTCCAGAAGGTAAGCATAGTTGTCTCTTGCCAACAGCACTCAGCTCAGATTTTCCATCTTGAGATCTTTGCAAAGCCAGCAAGTATTATGCATTAAACCAGAGCTAGGATTGCAACAGATAAAGGTAACACCAGAATGAGCACAGGTGACCTGTGTAAGAGTAAACCACTTTTGAATTACAAATAATTTCCATAAGGTAGAGACATGGATCATAATATCAAAGACAAATTCCTGGAATTAGGTTGGAGACAGGATACCCAGAGTATGGAATCACCATACTGGTGAGGGGGTGCATGTGGAAAGTGGACATTTGGCAGGGTGCTCAAGGACTGCTCTACTGGGGACAGTCTGAGGCTGGCATCAGCAGCAGCCAAACCTTGGTGTGTAGGGTGAACATGTCCACTTTGAGCCTTGAGCCATAAAAACATGGGCCCCCAAGGGGCCCAAACCCTTAATCTAACTCACAGACTTTGGCTGGCCTCTCTACACAGGCAGGGCTTGTGGATGTTGATGGCCACCTAGTGGGTGAGCCTGAAGGACAAAGCTTTGGACTTGGAGTCGCCCCTTTCTCTAACAAACCCGGAAAGAAAGCCAAGTCCAAGAAGACATCCAAAGAGCCGCTCAGGTGAGTGACCTTGCCACTCTGCCTCCTCAGCAGCTGGCCCTCCTTGGTGGGTGAATGGGAGAGTGTGCGCTGTTCCCACCTTCCCCCAGTGTCTCAGCTACTCGGTTGGTGCAACGGATGTCACTGCTACCAATTCTAGTAAGTCTGTGGGGCCCAGGCTGGGGCTGGTTTGGAACCCCACAAGAATCACCTCTCGTCCTCACATCAACCTGGTGAGGTGGGAGTTAATGTCTTCATTATAGTGATGAGGAAACAGAGGCTTAGAGAGGGGAAGTCACTCACCAAGGCCACACCACCAATGAGTAGTAGTATGGCAACAAGAAGCTGGACCAGCTCTCTAAAGCCCATGCCCTCTGGCACTTTATGTGGTAACCCCTCCCCTCACTTCACCAGGGTCCTCCCACTGACTGGCACTCAGGTCACCTAAAATCCCAGTTCACCTTTCAGGCAAGACTGGTTTGTATGTGCAAGGTGAGAAGAGCATTTAGGTTCACTTAGTGAGCCTACACTCCCAGGGTCCTGTGTAGTGGTGGGTAAGAGGACAGGCTCTGGAGCTGACACCTGGGCTCCCTTCCCTGCTCTGCACTTCTCACACCCAAGGGGTCACCTCGTGTGAGGCATGAGAACTGCTGTGTGCCTGTTTCTGCATCTCCAAAATGGGAATAATAATAATAGCATCCAAGTCATTGGGGTTGTTGTGAGGATGAGTGAGTGAGCGTAGTTCCTACACATGGGCCAGAGCTGACTGCAGAAAACTGTTATACGCAGGATGAGAGTCAGGCAGCAGAGGATGCCAGTTCCCTGAACCTCCTCCTGCCTCTTCAGGAGTGCAGTTGCACCCCAGCCCTCTCTGTTCTGCTGCTGGATAATCAGTGCAGTAGTCAGTGGGCTGAGGCTCAGTCCCCTGAGCCACACTTCTTGCAAAAAGGGGGAAAGAGGAAGAAATGGATTTTCTATCCTTAGGAAGAGCCATGGTCATTCTCCTACCAGTTTGGTCCTCAGATATGCCTCTCCTGGGAGAAAGGCACCAAGCACCATTGCTTTGGCAGGGAGGACAGTGGCTTTTCTGGGACCTGGTGTGGACAACAGGGTGTAGACCAGTAAGCACAGCAGGGCAGAGCCATCCTGCTTTACCATTGGTCCACAGACAGACCCACCCGGTGTGGGGCTCTGCCAGTCCTTCCCCAGGATGCTCATATGACTCAGACCTCAGCAGCCATGGTGGTTCCTGAGAACCTGTGGCCCATCCCACAGGTCCATACACTTTCAATCCATGGATATTGTAACCATTTTTCCCAAGTGTCTACTGCCAAGACCACTGAGGACTCCTTGTTCTGATAAAAGGGAGAAAAATGCCATCTTCTTTCTCCACATCTGCTTGGCTTAGCATCACACTGTTTGCACTTTTATCTGGGAATATGAACAAAATGGGAGCTGAGTGGGATGGGCTCCCAGGGTAGTAAGTGCTGAGAAAGGTCACTCATCCTGGCATCTGAGATACCTTACTGCCCATGACTGAACCCTGGGGCTTCCCTGCCTTCTCTTTCCAGCTCCTCAGCAAAAAAAGAAGGTGCCAGCAGCCCTGTGAGTGCCAAGGACTTGGATATGGTTTCCACCTCCAAGACCCAGCTGGTCCCATCCTCCAAGGATGGGGATGTCAAAGACATGCTTTTGCGGGACCGGGAAACCTCTAGCATTGAGCCCCCTCTCTCAGACTCCCCCAAGGAGGAATTACGCCCAATTAGGTAATCAGCTAATGTTAGTTTCTGCACCAGATCAAACAAAACCAGTATATGATCCTCAACATGTAAAGAGTGCCTGCAGATAAAAGAGAAATAAAATAAGGAATAGGCCAGGGTGTGGTGGCTCATGCCTATAATCCTAGCACTTTGGGAGGCCAAGGCAGGCGGATCATTTGAGGTCAGGAGTTTGAGACCAGCCTGAACCAACATAAAACCCATCCCTACCAAAAATACAGAAAAATTAGCTGGGCGTGGTGGTGCATGCCTGTGTAGTCCTAGCTATCTGGGAGCCGGAGGCAGGAGAATCGCTGGAACCCGAGAGGCAGAGGTTGCAGTGAGCTGAGATCACACCACTGCACTCCAGCCTGAGTGACAGAGCAAGACTCTGTCTAAAAAAAAAAAAAAGAAAAAAGAAAAAAAAAGGAATAATAGGTAAAGACTAGGAGCACAGTCCCCAAAGAAGAAACATAATGACTTATGCACCTGCAAAATGATCTAACCTCAGGAGTCATCCAAGATGCACAGTTAAACATGGAATCATTTTAGACCCTCCAGTTAGCAATTATTTAAATAAAGTTACCTATCTTTTGTACAAGTACTGCATTCAAAAGATTAAACATTTTTAAGGTATGAAAGAATATAACCTCTTCCCTTTTCTCGAATCACTCAGCCTCTCTCCCTGATAACTTTTTAAGGATCTATCCTAAGGAAATAAAGATGTAAAACAAGATCCATACAACAAACACTTACTTCATCATTTATTTAAAAAGCATAATTGTATATTTTTGAAACACCTTCAGTAGTCAACACTAGGGAAAGGGCACTAAGTGAATTGTTCTCCACCATTGGGTTGTACATGAAGAATTTCAGCCTCTGAACATTTCTAAACAGTCAGAGAAGCTGAAATAATTGTACAGCAAACACCTGTACATCAAGCATCCTCTCAGTTCTACAATTTAAATGTTACTCTGCTTGTTTCATTATCCCTCCATGCTATTTTTTTATGCATTTCAAAGTTGCCCACATCAATCTATTTTCCCGTGCTCCAACACTTCACCTTACACTCAAAAAAAGTAAGATGTAAAATTAAACATACTGCATGGCCTCAAGCATTCAAAAATATATCAAAGAGGCCAGGCCTGGTGGCTCATGCCTGTAATCCCAGCACTTTGGTTGGCCAAGGCAAAAAGATTGCTTAAATCCAGGAGTTGGAGACCAGCCTGGCCACATAGTGGGACTCCATCTCTACAAGAAATCAAGCTGAGCATGGGAGCACATTTCTGTAGTTCAAGCTACTCAGGAGGCTGAGGCGGGAGAACTGCTTGAGCCCAGGAGCTTGAGGCTGCAGTGAGCTATGATCGAGCCACTGAACCCCAGCCTGGGCAACAGAGCAGGACCCTGTCTCCAAGAATATATATATACAGATACATATATATGTTTATAAAAGAAATCCAGACGGAGATATACCACTGTATGCCATTGTATGGTTGCCAATAGGTAGTAAGTGGTTTTTTTTTTCTTGTTTGTTTCTTATACTTTTCCTTGCTTTCCTCACTTTCTGCCATGGGCATGTGTCCTTGTACAGGTGCTGAGTAAATCAAAGAGGAGGGAGTGATTCCTACATAGTATAGCTCCTGTCTGGGGTCGGTGGTGCCTAGCACTTCTGCCTCCTGCCCACAGAAGCCCCAGGGAAGAAAGATGAAGTGCCTGGTGGCCCTAAGGCAGCCACTTTATTTATCCTCCTTGGCCTCACCCTTGTGTCTCCAGGTCCGACACCCCACCCTCCAAACCAGTGGCCTTTGAGGAGTTTAAGAACGAGCGAGGTAGTGAGATCAACCGCATTTTCAAAGAAAACAAATCCATCTTGAATGAACGGAGGAAAAGGGCCAGCGAGACCACACAGCACATCAATGCCATCAAGCGGGAGATTGATGTGACCAAGGAGGCCCTGAATTTCCAGAAGTCACTACGGGAGAAGCAAGGTAAATGTGATGGAAAGATGGCTAGGGAGCTTTGGGGTCTGAGTCATGCTGCTTGAAGGAGGACAGCCGTGGGCACTGGAGGACTGAGATGGGAGGGGGCAGCAGGGGTGCTGGAGTGTGTGGCCTTGACCCATGGGTCAGATCACTTAGATGTGGTCAGCCCCTGAGAGCCACAGGGTCCTTCCCTGTCAGCCAGCCTCTGCCTGTGGGTCCCTCATTGTTGCATTATCTCAGACCTGGGTGCTGGGCCTTCGACCTGATATGTGCTACTGTGCACGGTGAAATAGGCCCTTGGTCCTGCAGAGGTATCCCTGGGAGATGATGGGTAGCTGGTGACCTCTACAAGGTCTGTGGGTCCCGGTGTGGTTTCCTCACTGCCCCAGGTGGTTAGATTGAGGTGGGGCTGCTGGTAGGGACTATGAAAAACCAAGGAAGGGAACAAGAATGTGGATGCCAGAGAACCAAGGGACTCACTATCAGTAAGGCCATTCCCTATCCCTGACACATGTGCTGGTCTGTCAGTGTCTTGTCTTGTCTCCTAGGGCAGGTGGCAGGGAATGCTCCAGGCTCAAAGAACAAAGGACCCCAGTGTAGGGAGAGTGCTCACCTGGTTACTCTGACCCGGTGTCCCTGTCCCAGTGGCATGCACTGCCCACACCTGCACTGAGGGCCAAGGCCCATCAAGCTTGCCTGTTCAGATGACTTACCTGGGAGGGCTGGTCAGGTGCTGATTCCTAGCCCCTCAGCCAGTGGTTCTGACTCAGGAGATAAGGAGCAGAGCCCAAGACCTGCATTTTGATGAGTGACCATTCCAACTCTGGGGCAGGTGGTTCAGAGTCCACACTGTTCTTCACATTCCTGGCTCAGTCTTATTGTCTTCTTCCAGACAGGAAACACCACAGGCTACTGGGCTTTCCCTTGCTAAATCACAACCCCGTTCCAGGCCAGCTTCATGAGTGATCTCCAGATGTCACCTGTTTTATTCCTGCAAGTCAGATGGGTCATCTCACAGGGGGTGCATTTTACTCATTTTTTTTTCTCAAAGGAGCAGGGTGTGGTGGTAGACACCTGTAATCCCAGCTTCTTGGGAGGCTGAGGCACAAGAATTGCTGGAACCCAGGAGGCAGAGGTTGCAGTGAGGCAAGATTGCACCATTGCACTACAGCCCGAGTGAAAGACCAAGACTGTCTCAGAAAAAAAAAAATTAAACAATTGATTCTCAGAGGGCAACTTTGTTTTCTAATTCTTGGGGCCACTCTATTTTTTTTGAGATGGAGTTTTGCTCTTGTTGCCCAGGCTAGAGTGCAATGGCACGATCTCAGCTCACCACACCCTCTGCCTCCCAGATTCAAGCAATTCTCCTGCCTCAGCCTCCTGAGTAGCTGGGATCACAGGCATGCACCACCATGCCCAGCTAATTTTTGAATTTTTAGTAGAGATGGGGTTTCTCCATGTCGGTCAGGCTGGTCTCAAATTCCCAACCTCAGGTGATCCTCCCACCTTGGCCTCCCAAAGTGCTGGGATTTACAGGTGTGAGCCACCATGCCCAGCCAGGGGCCATTCTTATCACATCTTACAGACCAATTATGACATGCTATTCCTGAGGGCAAAGCCCTCCACAGGTCTGGGAAGCTGGAGCCAGTGATGGTGGCTGTAGACAGACCCCTATCCAGAACCACAGGGAGAGGACATAGTGAAGGTCTTATGGGACAAACACGCATTTCTTTGTCCTCTCTGCTCAAACTTTCTTTCAACATACAGCCCTTTATTACATATTTAAGATAAAATATATGCATGCTATGCTGGCATATAATTTACTCCTAAATATACCTGAAAGTGGACATTTTCAAAGGATGAGATGAGGAAGACAAAAATTTTTTTAAATATTTTAAATTTTATCTATCAGTATCAAAAAACCCATTTTTGTTCTGTTCCCTAAAAGTAGTTGTTTTTCCAATGATTATTAAAATATTACTATAATACCTTTATTTTATTGAATTTACTTGAATAGATCAAGTAAATTTGTTTTTAAAAATATTTTCTGGCCAGGCGTGGTGGCTCACACGTATAATCCCAGCACTTTGGGAGGCTGAGGCAGGTGGATCACGAGGTCAGGAGTTTGAGACCAGCCTGACCAACTGGTGAAAACCTGTCTCTACTACAAATACAAAAATTAGCTGGGCATGGTGGCGCACACCTGTAATCCCAGCTACTCAGGAGGTTGAGGCAGGAGAATCACTTGAACCCGGGAGGCAGAGATTGCAGTGAACTGAGATTGTGCCATTGTACTCCAGCCTGGGCCACCAACTTTGGGAGGCCAAGGCGGGTGAATTGCTTGAGCACAGGAGTTAGAGACCAGCCCAGGCAACACAGTGTGACCCCATCTCTACAAAAAAAAACATAAAAAATTAGCTGGGCATGGTGGCACACACCTATAGTCTCAGTTACTTGGGAGGCACAGTGAAAGGACTACCTGAGCCCAGAAGGTTGAGGCTGCAGTGGAGCCATGCTCATGCCATTGCATTTCAGCCTGGGTGACAGAGTGAGGTCCTGCCAAATCAATCAATCAATCAATCTACTAGATACCTTATGATTGACAGCCACTTGTTGACCCACAAAGGTCAACATATTTGAAACGTTAGTCTCTTGTAAAAGAAAAATGCAAAATTGCCAGGTGTGGTGGCACATGCTTGTAATCCCACCTATTTGAGAGGCTGAAGTAGGAGGATCACTTGAGGCCAGTAATAAAAGGAAAAGAAACAAAAGAAAAGAAAAATGTAAAAATGTAAAATCTAAATTCAACTCCTTTTTTTTTCCTGGAGATAATCAGAGATCCTCTGAGTAGAACAAAAGATGTTCACAGTCACTCCCCATCTCAGCAGAGTACTGTAAAAACTCTACTCTCTAAAGGATTGTGGCTTATTCAAATAATCACATCAGGGATCTCCCACAGCATAGAGACCACAGCAGATTGCTCTGCATTGAAGGTGAGATATCTGGTGAGGGTGACTCCCAGCCCCCCACTCCAGATCCCAGATCCCAGAGTCAAGACATTTGCTTTTCCATTAATGGCATTGTGACTTTTAATGTGTCTTACTTTTTCTCAATAAACATCAGTGGAAGTGCTAACACTTTCCTCCAGCACCTGGGGTCTGCCTCATGCACCCCAGCCACACACCTCAAGTCACACCAGAACACACTTGCCCCATACTTGGGGATGGGAGTTGATGTGAGGCCTTTGCTAAGCTTTCAGGTGCTGTGGGCAGTGGAGAGTAGGGTGAATGGTCTTACACACTGTATTATTTTGTCTTAACCCAACAACTGTCACTGAACTGACAGACCTTAGAAGATATGTGCACAGAGACTAATAGCGGCGACCCTTGTCCCTGGAGTCCTTTGACAGCCACTCAACACGATGTAGATGTCTAATCATCTCTAAGAAGAAGGTAGCTGGTGAGCTGCACATGGTGGCTCATGTCTGTAATCCTAGCACTTTGGGAGGCCAAGGTGGGTAGATCACCTGAGGTCAGGAGTTCGAGATTAGCCTGGCCAACATGGTGAAACCCCATCTCTACTAAAAATACAAAATTAGCTGGTCATGGTGGCACACGCCTGTAGTCTCAGCTACTCAGGAGGCTGAGGCAGGAGAATCGTCTGAACTGGGAGGCAGCGGTTGCAGTGAGCTGAGATTGTGCCAGTGCACTCTAGCCTGGGCAGCAAAGCAAGACTCCATCTCAAAAAGAGGGGAAAAAAAAGGTAGCTGGTGGATGTGGAAATCAGAAAGAGACAATTTGAATATCTGCTGTTATTAATAAGGAGCCTTGCCCAAGTGCCTTGTAGTGCTAGCCAGTGAAGGCTATTTGTAGATGTAATTTACAAGAAAAATAGACATTTGTATACTTGGGTTGCTTACTAAATATCTTTGGCTAATAGGATTTTAAGTAAAATAAGCATGGAGCATGGGCCTTCTGCACCTTCCCCTCCTGTTTGTCCTAAAATGCCAGTGTGGCCCCTCCTTGTGAGACATGCCCTGGAAGCCTGGCCTTTTTTTTTAGGGAGGGAAGGAGGAAGGGAGGAAGGCAGGAAGGGAGGGAAGGAGGAAGGGGGGAGGGAGGGAGGGAGGGAGGGAGGGAAGGGAAGGAAGGAATTCAAGCAATGAGAGAGACATTGCCGACTTGGATCTAGAGGTTTACAAGTTGATTTCTTTTTCTGAGAGAAGGAAAGAAAATAAAAATGAGTAAAGGAGGGAAAGAAAGAGGAAGAGAGAGAGGGAGGGTGAACAGAAATATTGCTTTATTCTGAAAAAAAAAATGGGTATTAATAATGGCCAATGTTTCATTTAAACCTATGAGTAGGTGTGATGTGGTATTGACAAGAATGTATATTTTATGTATTTGAAGTGGAGAGCTCTATAAATATTTATTAAGTTTACTTGTTCCGGATCTGAGTTCGAGTCCTTGATATCCTTATTAATTTTCTGTCTCATTGAATCTAAGTCTCTATGTATCTGGGTGTTAGGATCGTTAGCTCTTGTTGTTGTATTGATCCTTTTACCACTATATCTTTGTTGCTTTAAAATCTATTTTATCCAATACGAGAATTGCAACTCCTGCTTTTTATTTATTTATTTATTTATTTTTGCTCTCCATTTGGTTGGTAAATCTTTCTTCATCCTTTTGAGTCTTTGTGTATCCTTGCATGTGAAACAGGTCTGGATGTAACATGCCATTGGGTTTTTTGGTTGTGTCTTTTGGTTGGGGGATTTAGTCAATTTAAATTTAGGGTTACTGCCATTTGATGTTGACTGGCTGTTTGATCCATTCGTTGATGAAAATTCTTCTTTATGTTGGTGCTCTTTACTTTTTGGTATATTTTTAGTAAGGCTAATACTGGTTGTTTCTTTCTGTGTGTAATGCCTCTTTCAGAAGCTCTTGTAAAGCAGGCCTGGTGGTAATAAAATCTCTGAGTTCTTGCTTGTTCATAAAAGATTTTATTTTTCCTTCAGTTGTGAAGCTTAGTTTGGCTGGATATGAAATTCTGGGCTGAAGGTTCTGTTCTTTGAGGATGTTGAATATTGGCCCCCACTCTCTTCTGGCTTGTAGAGTTTCTGCTGAGAGATCTGCTGTAAGTCTGATAGGCTTGCCTTTGTGGGTAACCTGACCTTTCTCTCTGGCTGCCCTTAGTATTTTCTCCTTCGTTTCAACCCTGGTGAATCTAACGATTATGTGCCTTGGGGTTGCTCTTCTTGAGGAATATCTTTGTGGTGTTCTCTGTATTACCTGGGGTTGAATATTGACCTGCTTTGCTAGTTCAGGAAAATTTTCCTGAATAATATCCTGAAGGGTATTTTCCAGCTTGGATTCATTCTCTCCGTCGCATTCAGGTACACCTATCAAACGTAGATTTGGTCTTTTCACATAGTCCCACATTTCTTGGAGACTTTGCTCATTCCTTTTTATCCTTTTATCTCTAATCTTGTCTTCTTGTTTTCTTTCATTAAGTTGGACTTTGACCTCTGTTATCCTTTCTTCTGCTTGAACAATTCGAGTGTTTAAACCTGTGCATACTTCTCGGAGTTCCTGTATTGTATTCTTCAGTTCCATTAATTCACTTATATTCCTAAGTTGTCTACTCTCAATAGGATTTCGTCAAACCTTTTTTCAAAGTTCCTAGTTTCTTTTTTTTTTTTTTTTTTGAGACGGAGTTTCGCTCTTGTTACCCAGGCTGGAGTGCAATGGCGTGATCTTGCTCACCACAACCTCCGCCTCCTGGGTTCAGGCAATTCTCCTGCCTCAGCCTCCTGAGTAGCTGGGATTACAGGCATGCGCCACCACGCCCAGCTAATTTTTTGTATCTTTAGTAGAGACGGGGTTTCACCATGTTGACCAGGATGGTCTTGATATCTTGACCTTGTGATCCACCCGCCTCGGCCTCCCAAAGTGCTGGGATTACAGGCTTGAGCACCGCGCCCGGCCAGTTCCTAGTTTCTTTACGTTGGGCTACAACATGTTCTTTTAACTCACAGAAGTTTCTTATTATCCATTCCTTGAAGAGTGATTCTGTCATTGGGATGTGCTCGTTCTCTGTCAAGCCTTGTTCCATTGTTGATGTGGAACTGTGATCATCTTTAGAGGGAGAGGTGTTCTGATTTTGAGTATTCTCAGCCTTTTTACGCTGGTTTCTTCCCATCAGTGTAAATTTATCCTCCTGTCATCTTTGAAATTACTAACTTTCAGATTAGGTCTCTTGATTGGATGTCCAAGTTGTTAGTTCCCAGGGCCAGAACGGCGGCGTTAAGACTGATAGTGCTTTTCTGCCCAGGATTCTCCTGTCTGGCTTCCTTCTTGTGTCCATAATGGGCGACTCTGCCTTCCCCGGGCTCCAAACCTCGGTCAGAAGGGGAACCAGTCTCGTTTACTCTGCGCCGAGAGCTGCCGCGCTGAGGTGCCATCACAGCTGCTGCGCCGGTCTCAGGAGTCGTGCTGGGGACACGTGTGGGTCCTCCAAACCTCGGTCAGAAGGGGAGCCGGCCCTGTTTACTCTGCTCCGAGAGCTGCCGCGCCGAAGTGCAGGCAAAACCGCTGCGCTGGCCACAAGAGTCGCGCTGGCGACCCGTGTGGTTCCTCTACTGGGGATCTTCTGCTCCATGAGCGACCAGAATTTGTCTGAAAGTATGGCGTCCTCTAGTTCTCTGCGCTTTGACAGAGCTGCAATCCCGAGCTGTTATCGATCAGCCATCTTGGATTGTCTCCCAGCCTGGCCTTCTTGTCCTTTGCCCATCTCCTTGCCATGGCCTAGTCCTGCCTGTGGTCTCCCGTCTTCATGATTTGCCAGCTCTGTGCCCACCTTCTGGAATGCCTTCCTCCCCCAGCCCCAGGTGGACACCTCCTCATTTCCTGACCTCTTCCATCACTTTGCAGGTGAGTATGAAAACAAGGGGCTGATGATCATTGATGAGGAGGAATTCCTGCTGATCCTGAAGCTCAAAGACCTCAAGAAGCAGTACCGCAGCGAGTACCAGGACCTGCGTGACCTCAGGGCTGAGATTCAGTACTGCCAGCGCCTAGTGGATCAGTGTCGCCACCGCCTGCTCATGGGTGCGACAGTTGGGAAGGTTGGCTGGCCACCTGAGGTACAGGGAGGCTCAGGGCAAGGCCACAGCCTGAGTTCTGGAACTGCCCTCAGAGTTTCTCTCTGGCAGAGGCAGGAGCTTTAGATGTTTGGTTCCCAGGACTGAGTGCCAGTGATGGAGATGGGGACAGGGTGAGACTAGGAAGTGAGCAGGTGCTGAGCCTGCAACAGGTGTAAGACAGATAAGAGCACACAGCCCTTACCAGCTTCCTCAGGTCTATCTCCTTGCCTCCTTGTAGAATTTGACATCTGGTACAACGAGTCCTTTGTCATCCCTGAGGACATACAGATGGCACTGAAGCCAGGCGGCAGCATCCAGCCAGGCATGGTCTCTACGAACAGGATTGTGTCTCTGGTGAGCAGCACAAGGGCAGGGGCATGGCAGTGGTTGAGCATGGGGCATGGACAGTGCCCCTTGACCTCTGTTCTGGCCACAAACATGGTAGTGTGTGTGGTGCTCCCAGCCTCTCCACAGTCAGCCCAGGCAGGTGGGCAGGCATAGTCTCTCCTCAGTTACCAAGGGATGGGGTAAAATACCACTCTTGCTACTACCACGTTTCTGAAGCAGTTCATCCTGCTCAGGCAACAGTTACAGGTTGCTGTGGGGATACTGACAGACGTGGGGGCTGGAGGGTTGTGAGATGCCCTGGTAGGGGGCGGCACAAGCCCAGCAAGGGACCACCCTGGTGCCCACCACGGGCCCCACCAGGGTGTATCCTGCCAATGCCATGCTAAAGGGACTGTCCTTCCCCAGGGAGAAGATGACCAGGACAAATTCAGCCAGCTGCAGCAGAGGGTGCTTCCTGAGGGCCATGATTCCATCTCCTTCTATAATGCCAAAGTCAAGACAGAGCAGAAGGTAACTCTGAGGCCTATGTCTCCAGCAGGATGGGGGCCTCAGTGACCTTATTACTAGGAAAGCCAGGATCGTATTCCTTAGTTTAGAGAGGTAGGAAAGGAATGGTGCCATTCCAAGGAAATCAGTCACCCTGTCAGTGGGTGTCTTCTGCCAACTCGACTGCAATTGAGCTGGATCCTAGAGGGGTCCCACCGACCATGGCCTGGCCTGGTCATGGCTAGTGAGTGCTGACTAGCCTGTATATGGTTCATAGCACAAGGCCCAGGGATCCCCTGAAGCTTCCACCTGTCAGGGAGAACCTTCCCTACAGGGGCCACTCTGCATAGGTGCCAGGGGACAGAGGATCACATGCAGCTGAGGCATAGCTAGACATGGGCGTTAGCTGCAGATTGGGTGGGATACTTTCCTCCCCGAGCAGATTAGGCTGGAGCAGAGGGTCTCCACTCTACTAAGGCCCAGCCTGGAGCCAGAACACAGAGGGCCCTGTGTGCTGCACAGTCCTCTTTGTGCAGAAAAAGTGCTTATACAGCAAGTGGCAGATGCACATGGGGCAGATGCCCAAGTGAGTTCATTCTTTTACAAATATTTTTGTCATTATTTATTAACATATTCAATAGGTGATACATTCAGGTGTTTCAAACATTAGGAAAGCATGAACCCGGGCATGGTGGCTCACGCCTGTAATCCCAGCACTTTGGGAGGCCAAGGCAGGTGGATCATGAGGTCAGGAGTTCAAGACCAGACTGGCCAACATGGTGAAACCCCGTCTCTACTAAAAAATACAAAAATTAGCTGGGCATTATAGCTCGTGCTTATAATCCAAACTACTTGGGAGGCTGAGGTAGAAGAATTGCTTGAACCAGGACTCACTAGGCAGAGGTTGCAGTGAGCGGAGATGGCGCCACTGCACTCCAGCCTGGGCTAGAGAGCGAGACTCCATCTCAAAAAAAAAAAAAAAGAAGGAAAGAAAAGAAAGCATGAAAATATGTTGCTAGGTGTGGTGGCTCACGCCTGTAATCCCAACATTTTGGGAGGCCAACGTGGGTGGATCACTT